CCCACCTCACCTCACCTCACCCCACCCACCCACCTCCACCTCTATCATCCTCCCTCCCACCCCACCCTACCCCCACCCTCACCTCTATCATCCTCCCTCACCCCACCTCACCTCACCTCACCCCACCTCTATCATCCTCCCTCACCCCACCTCACCTCACCTCACCCCACCTCACCTCCTATCATCCTCCTCACCCCACCTCACCTCACCTCACCCCATCTCACCCCACACCTCACCTCTATCATCCTCCCCTCACCCCACCTCACCTCTATCATCCTCCCTCACCCTCACCTCACCTCACCCCATCTCACCCCCACCTCACCTCTATCATCCTCCCTCACCCCCTCACCTCACCTCACCCCACCCACCCCACCTCACCTCTATCATCCTCCCTCACCCCACCTCACCCCTCCTATCATCCTCCCTCCCACCCCACCTCCACCTCACCTCACCCCACCCACCCCACCTCACCTCTATCATCCTCCCTCACCCCACCTCACCTCTATCATCCTCCCTCACCCCCACCTCACCTCTATCATCCTCCCTCACCCCCACCTCACCTCACCTCACCCCATCTCACCTCACCTCACCCCACCTCACCTCTATCATCCTCCCTCACCCCACCTCACCTCACCTCATCATCCTCCCTCACCCCACCTCACCTCACCTCCATCATCTCCCTCCCCACCTCACCTCACCTCCACCCCACCCCACCCCACCTCACCTCCTCATCCTCCCTCCACCCCACCACCTCACCTCTATCATCCTCCCTCACCCCACCTCCACCTCACCTCACCTCTATCATCCTCCCTCACCCCACCCCACCTCACCTCACCCCACCTCACCTCTATCATCCTCCTCACCCACCTCACACCTCCACCTCCTATCATCCTCCCCACCCCACCTCACCTCCACCTCCTCACCCCACCTCACCTCCTATCATCCTCCCTCACCCCACCTCACCCCACCCACCCCACCTCACCTCTATCATCCTCCCTCACCCCATCTCCCTCACCTCACCCCACCCCACCCCACCTCACCTCTATCATCCTCCCTCACCCCACCTCACCTCACCTCACCCCACCCCGGCTGGTTAGTCCTATATATTAGCCTCAAACCTAACCACATTTTTGGGGGCATGGAAATTTATCATTATAAAATAGGCGCCATTTACGAGTACTTAATGGAATGACCAAATCAACCAAAGAAACCTACTTAACTTCCTCGCCGAGGGGCGGAATCCCGCCATATTAAACAGAAAGTACTTTGCCAATCAAAGAGTTAGTAGGGACAGTCGGTCACGGCAAAATGTCCAAGGCGTATAAAACAGTCACACACCACGTAAGAACCCCAGTAGCAACAAGTTATTAAATGGCCTTTTTACGTCTCATTAACGAATCTATAAAATATTTAACACTTTCTGTGTACATACACTCTATATCTACATACTGTGGTAAATAATAAATTTGTATGACCAGGTAGGGTTTGTTTACATCATCTGAGCCTCCGCACCAGACACCACCTTTACTGCTTAATTAATTATTTCATAACTTATACAACTTACACCATTACCTATATCTAAATTTCAACATTGAACCATAGCAGAATAATAGAAGCATTAATAAATTAAACTCAGACTCACCATTTTGGAGGATTAGTTGGATATTTCAGTACGTCCACACACACACACGGATCCCCAGTATACTTTGGGAGAGGAAGGAAGTGAGAGAAGCGCAGCACCAACACTGGCGTTCTTGTACACCTGCTGTCTGACCCTGGGGTTATCATCTCAGGTAATAACAACAGGTATTGTGGATTATCATCGCTATAACAAGTGATCTTTAAGGTTATATTAGTTATTACATGTGTTCAGAGTTATCCCACCTGATTATAACACCTGTTCAAGGTATAACATTTTGTCCATATTATAATTACAAACTTCAAAAAGACTCAGAATTTTTTAGTTAAGTTTGGTAATATGTTTGAGCCTTTGAGAAGTTCCGCAAAGGTAAATTTTCAGTATGAGCACGAATATATAGTGAGAGAGAGAGTTAATAAGTACAACCAGAAGTAGTAATTGCTGCCACATCCCCACAGATAGTGAATGCCGATATTGACACAGAGCAACATCACCATCCATGATAGTTCCAACACAACAGATAGTTAGGCAGGGGTAGGGGGTTATCCGATCAAGCTTTCATTTGCCATGGCTCCTGCTACTAGGGGGAGAAGGGCAGCAATCACTGTTTCTGACTGTACTGTACCTATCTCTCTCTCTCTCTCTCTCTCTCTCTCTTTCTCTCTCTCTTCTCTCTCTCTCTCTCTCTTTAGGAGGAGTAACCCCTCATAATCCCACTGTGTACAGCTCGCCATTAAACAGACATCAGTCAGTGTTTCTCTCGCAAACATCCGTGTGTTTGGACGCTCACTACACCCACACACGCCTACACACACACACACGCATACACACACACACACACACACCTACACACACACACACACACACCCAAATGTCAAATGCCCACACAATGACGTACTCACATACGCTCACAGGTTCACACAGTAACGTACTATGGTGGACAAAAGTTCCTTCAACCTCCCTCTCTTTCCCCTCTGTCCCCATCCCCATTGCCCCCTTATACACACTATATAGTGCGCCATCTGTTGGACGATTACAGCACTTCCCTCAGTTGCTTCGTTATTCGAACCTCGGGTGATTCAGTCATATTGTGGCTGGCTGGGGGAAGGGACTTTTGTCCACCATAGTACACACACATACTCTTACACGTTCACATGTTGACGTACACATAAGCACAATCATAAATTGGTGCACAAAGACGATACAAACATACACATTTGAACACACACATGCCTGCACGCCATGCATTGACGCCCACACAAATCCACACACACTTTAGTGTACACACGTGCCCACGCATTAGTACATTAACGCCCCTCCCCCACACACACCGTTTGTTGAAGTCACTCCCACAAACAATCTCATTAGTACTGACTCCTTATCTTCACTACTCGCTCTGTCTCTGAAGCCCAAAACAAACTTATGTGTCCTGTTGACGAGGGTATCACAGGATCAAGCTCCCCTCTCACATAGGCCTCAGTGAACATGGCAGAGTTGATGTCTTAGCTAAACTCGCGTCCAATAAAGACACTGTTGAATATAATCTGGGAATGTCAAACAAAACCCATAAACCTTGCTGATGAATTTGAAGTCAGTAGACAAGTACAAACAGGCATTAGTTAATTCATTGTTTACCACGAGATGTATCAAGTAACATATACAGTATATATATGGAACAAGTAACAAAACTAAATGTAAAGTGTATGGACAGACATATGTACACAGACTCCAACACTACGTAGTAGATTGTGAGAAAATAGAACCTTTTAAGGACAGTCCAAGCACACTGTGAATGAAATGGTACAACACTTTATCTGGTGGCGAGATGACTGATATACTAAGGCTGTATCCACACTTCGCACCGAGTGCAGAAATAATCAAACAATGTACTGGAATTCCTCTGGGGTCTAATATACAGAGCCCTTATGACCTGTGCTCTGCAATAATTGTTTTGCGCTACCGTTAACACGATGGATATGGGGTGCACAATAAACTAGCTACTGTCCGCGGTAATATTTAATTCATACACACACACACACACACACACACACACACACACACACACACACACACACACACACACACACACACACACACACACACACACACACACACACACACACACACACACACACACACACACACACACACACACACACACACACACACACACACACACACACACACACACACACACACACACACACACACACACACACACACACACACACACACACACACACACACACACACACACACACACTCTACCAAGTCTTGTGCATGTACTTTTACCTGTAATTACAGCAGTACATATTTATGTATTGTACGTATGCAATAATTTATAATTATTTAAGTCAAATACAATTTACATGAATATTTTTTCTTTGAACAAAAATATTCGAGCATTTATTAATTGTTACATTCATTACATCTGGTAAATAAATGTTATATGTTGTAAACTCTAGATTATTGAAGACACAAGAATTATAGAGGATGAGGTGAAGACAATATTATTGATTTAAAAAACTCCAAGATAAGAACAACAATAATATGAAGAAAAAAATACTAACAATGTTAATGAAGGAAGACAGACGCTAAGACTTTACATAACATAATAACTATACAAGAGAGAGAGAGAGAGAGAGAGAGAGAGATGATAATAATATTTTTTCCTGTGGAGAAAAGAAAAAACAAGAACTTAAACATAATTTCCTTCGCTCGAACGTTGAGGTTATAATTATTTAAGTACTTATTATTATTTTAGTATTTTGTAAATCTATTTTTCTAACACTACGATGTCATAGAGAATGCTGAAATAAATTTATGTATATATGTATTTTAAGAACACTTTTTCCCTGTAAATATTTGTCAATAATAAGTGTACTCGTGACATGTATGTATGTATGTATGTATGTATGTATGTATGTATGTATGTATGTATGAGTGAATGGTTTAAAGTTTACAATACATTATTTATCAAGAAAGAACAAAGTCAAGTACACGTTTTTCTAGAGAACTAAAGCTACATAATTGTATACATAAACCTTAGGTGAACTGTAGACCATTTTTTATTACTGTTTCTGATCACTGAGTCTTGGTGTTCAACGGTTGGTGTGTTCAGCAGGTAGTGGGTTCAACAGGTAGTGAGTTCAACAGGTAGTGGGTTCAACAGGTAATGGGTTCAACAGGTAGTGGGTTCAACAGGTAATGGGTTCAACAGGTAGTAGGCTCAACCGGTAAAACATCCAACAGGTAATGGGTTCAACAGGTAAAAGATCCAACGGGTAATGTGCTCAACAGGTAGTGGGTTCAACAGGTTAATTGGTTCAGTTTACAAGTGCTGGTGTAAGGAACCAAATTCTCCAATTGATTGTTTAATAATGATGTTCTATAATAACTACAAGTTTAAGTACAGTACATTGAGAAATATTATCCATATTCAGTAATCTTTTATCACAATATATCTATGACGTCAGCACTTTTCTAGTCTTTGATCCATTGGTGTAATATTTACCCTCAGTCTCCCGTAATAAAATAGATACGCTACAGACAGGCTGGCTGACCAACCCAACGTCGTTTTCTAAACTTTAGTGACAGAAAAAGAGTTTATGGGAAAATGTAATAATTATTAAGAAAATTGCTTCTAGACTGTCCGTAAACCTTATCTACATAAGACATATGGCTGAGGTACGTGTTCCTGTAAGTAAAGGGTATAACACGTCAACAGGCAGGTAGGAGCTAGTATTTTATATACACACACACTAAAAGTAACAGCCGACCTCAATCCTGCGAGGGTCTTCGGTTCTCGTCTTGTCTGGGCTGCGTTGAGCGTTCTTCATCCTCTTTGCTGAGTGTTGGGCTGGTGGTGAGGAGGCCCCAACTTTCGTCTTCACATGGTCTCGTGATGGGCGCCTCTGAATTGACTTTTTCATCCGTGTTTGATTTTGAGGGACTGGGGACACGATGTTCTTGGTGGGTTTGGATAGTAAGCACATTTTTGTTTTTATAGACACTCGACTTGCCAGGAGTTGGTGGACTGCTTGTTGCTCTCTTCTCTGAACTAAAGGATTTTACGGGCCTCGGTGTAATCTTCAGATCCAGTTGTAGAGACAGTGTTGTCTTCGTAGGCCATTGAATAATTTTTAGGATTCCTGGTAATGCGCGAGAACTTAGCAGTTTCTTCCATTTCCTTCAAGATGTCATCAAGAATGTCGATGAGTTTCTCAGTTTCTCTGATACGAGATTTGTCGTTCTCTGTCAGATGGCGTCGGGAGTACAAGGGATCGATCTCTGCTTCATTCACAATCTCCTGGGAACTCGTTCGTGTAAACTCTTCCCTTTCAAATCCTTGTTCTTGGCTTCTCCTATTTACATTGTCTTGTTCTTCTTCACCGCCATCTTTGTTATGTTCCTCAACACCGATAACTTGCTCCCCGGAAGACACTTCACCTCCACCATCGTCTTCGTCAAATAAGTTAAAATCTCTCCTCAAATTATCGAGGGAGGTTTTGATTGCCTGAGCATCAAAGGCATTGTTAGAGGTCCTGGAATCTGGCAGAGCTCTTGTGGGATTACCAGAACTTTGTTCGTTCTGGGAAGATAAACTGGAACTCCCTCTGAAGGTTCCGGGTGTTGGTTACATCAGAGACACCCTTTACCTGTGTTCCTTCTCGGATAGAATTAATTCTTGGAATGTGGCTCTGAGGTCCTTCTGGCATCATCGTGTCTGTTGGTTGTATCCTCGTAGTTTCTGTTACTCCTTCCGAGCCTTCAGAGGAATACAGACTAAAGTCCTGCTGCCGCGGCGCCTCTCCCACTGGCGCCCTCGGGTCTCTCGATGTAACTGAACCCTCCTGTCTATATCCAATTATCTGACCCCTTTTTTTATCCACTGTTTCCCTGTCATACTGAGAGTAACGATCTGTTGTAGGAAGGGCTGAAGCTGGTGCTTGATCCTTATTATAGTTGGTGGCAGCAGAGGGCGTCGACATGGTGGACTCTGGATGCGACACGGATTGGGTGTCGCCTGCGGCATATTCAGAGAAGTAAGTGGCGTCTGAGGTCGACCCGTAATCGTAATTTGAAATATAATCGTCAAGGGACTCGCCGCCATTGTTGAGGAGCATGTCATAGTATTCCTGAGGGGGTTCCTCAAGGTGGGCATCCTCTGAAGAGGGATCTTGAGAATCCGCCAAGACAGGCCTGGGCGGTGGCACAGGTCCAGGACTTTGCAAGGGTGCCTTGGTGGTTCCCCCACTCTCTACCTCACCTTCAGGGACGTCCTCGTCCCCGTCGAGAGCCGAGAGTTGCAGCTGATTCGGATGGAATCGTCTAGCGGCGCCAAAGATCCTATTGTCGACCTCCTCTGTTAGGATCTCCTGAAGCTGCGTATGGTATTGGTCCTCCTGCCAGGCCGCTTGTGACCCTCTTCCTGCCGCCAGGGCTCCAGCCAAATCATACGGCTCTGGCCTGCAAAATTATACAATACAGGAATATTTCAAGTAACTTTTTTCATCTAATTTTCACTGCTAAACTGGCTTAGGATATTGCAAACTCTGCAGTATTATTTCCTTACCAACAATATCAAACAGTACATTGCGTGGGTCGTCAACTTTCAGTGCATAATGTAGGTACAGTATAAAGAATGTCTTCGCCTCACTACCAGAGGAACGATGTTATAAAGTTACCAAGTTTATTGGTTGTTGGACAGTGACTTGAGGACGAAGATTTTGTGAAGCAGAGAGACAATTTAACCCAAAGAATACAATAATTCAAAGACACACTAAAACAAACCCTGCAACACAAATACACTGTAACACAAATACTATAACATACAAACACTGTAACACAGACATAACACACAGGCACTATAACATACAAACACTAACACAAACAAATACTATAACACACACATACTGTAACTAAAAAATACTGTAACATAAACACTGTAACACAAACATTAACACGCAGACACTGTAACAAAGACAAGGTAACACAAACACTATAACACACAAATAATGTAACACACAAACACTGTAGCACACAAACACTGTACCACTGACACTGTACCAAGACTTACATGTCACCGGGGCCAAACACCTTCTCTTGCAGCTTCTGGATGTCGTGGCGGACGTCGGCGATCATGAGGTTAAGGAAGTCGAAGGAGCCGGGGTCGCCCTTCTCTCCGGGGGACCCTGTTGATCCTGGAAGACCCCTCGGCCCTGGCTTACCTGAGGCGCCAGGAGAACCCTGAGGGAAGAACAAGGGGAGAGGGGTATGTTGATCTCTCTCTCTCTCTCTCTCTCAATATAAACCACGATGAATCTACAAGGAAATCACATTAATTGATATACTTTAGGACAAGACAGACTGTTATTACCAGTAGTTATATCGTACACTTAATTTACCCCGAATTATACCTACAGTACTTTAGACTGGGTAAAAATAGAAAGGCCAAGAGGTAAGTGAAGTGAAAGTTTAGATGGTAAGGGAAAGTTGACGTATAGTGTGTGTGTGTGTTAAAGAAATGCAAACTACACCCTGTGGCTTTTTACACCCTCAAAGATACACCGTAGAATATACACTAAACCCAAGGATTTTACATGCACTCTAGGGAGACACATACACACACACACACACTGCACACTACACCCAGCAACACTTACCACGGCGGCTCGGCGACATTTACAGAACTGCCGCCGGCCGTCTCCCTGAAGGACGGTCCAGGAGTCGAGTGGGAAGTCCTCTGAGGTGAAGGGGTCATCAGCTGGTAGGCGTCTGGGCGTGGGCGTCGTCTCCGGGGGCGCCGTCCACATCGGGCCCACCGCACCCCTCTCCCCTGTGGCCCTGGTGACCCAGCCGGACCTGTCGACCACGAGCACCACCTGAACTTACTCTAGCTGGCAGCCCACACCACCTGAGGTCACACCCCGTGGCCACTGCTACCATCCCCGCCCTCTTACACGCTCCATAAAGTATCTGTACGATGTTAAACAATATGACAACTGACCAAGTATTTTGACAATCATACCAAGACAACAGTGTTCATTGTGAAATTCATCGAACTCCTCCGTAAAGACACTTTTTGGAGCGAGCTACAATATATATAAGGTGAGCGGGACAGACTGACACGTTTATACAATGCTTCTGACGTTCACCTCCAGTAGAAATTGTCCCTGAGTCATATGTGACTGTCTCTCCTCTTCCACGCCGTAGAGACTGAGGCCAAAGGAAACAGTTCTATCATTAAATGCCGTATATTTCCACCTGCCACACCCACACAGGCTGTTTGATCCATATATGAGCGGTTTGATTGTACGTTATTGTATAAGTATCGCCCTCATGTGTCAGCACCACCACCAAGGCTTAAAGTCATAAACACCGTAATCATACAAGTGAGGCCTTTAATTACATACTTGAACCTTGTGGGGGGTTTTTATGTTTTTGTTCTTGTTTATTCTGAATATTTGACGGAAATGTTGTCTTGCTTTAGGCCAATGACTTCACGGCTTCCACAGTCACGAGAAAATTGAGGTAAAGAACACATGCGAGGAGGAACACTGTATAAAGAGGCCACACACACACACACACACACACACACACACACACACACACACACACACACACATTATCCAGATGTCCGAGTTTTAACGCGTTTGTTTAGAGTGTGTGTGTGTGTGTCAAGTCGTCGCTGTTCTGTGGAAGTTGTCGTTTAAGTAACTGGTCTAAAGAAATTTAGTGGAGTATAAGAGGTGATGGTTTTGGTAGCTTCTCTTTGAGGTAGAGGCCTCTCTCTCTCTCTCTCTCTCTTCTACCAGAATGGACACAGCATTTTTACTAATCAGTGCCTTGAATACCACACCACACAATGGATCCCTAAGTAAATAAATACTAAATCAACTCATATATAGAAATGAAAAACAGACGCCACTCAAATATTTGATCCAATACCTTTTCGTTTTATATAAATCATTAAATTTTTATCTTTCATTTCAATCAGTTTAAGTTCTGTCGTTTTTTATTTTCTTCAATCGAGGATTTGATATTTCGGGTTAAAATTGATCTTTCAAAATATTCTGGATATTTAACTTTGTTTACACGTCTGCCTCTCTTGACTCAACTGATGGAGACTGTTGTACCTGTGTTATAAGGCATATACATATTTTTTTTCATTCACAGCCAATATTTCTTTCATCCCGGTTTTTTCTATCTGATTTTCCTTTATAATTAATTAGAGTGAAAATACTACCTTGGTGACCTGTAATGAATTGTGGTGACCTGTATTGAGTAGTGGTGACCTGTAATGAGTAGTAGTGACCTGCAATAAATAGTGGTGACATGTGATGAATTGTGGTGACCTGTAATGAATTGTGGTGACCTGTAATGAATTGTGGTGACCTGTAATGAGTCATGGTGACCTGTAATGAGTTGCTCTGACCTACCTGGGAAGCCTCTAGGCCCTGCAGCACCAGGAGGCCCAGGGGGTCCTTCAGGGCCCGGTAGACCAGCGGCGAAGCTGTAGAGACGGACTGCCGTGCTGAGAGCCACTACCTGCCGGCGACCATGAAGGAGGAGGAGGTGACGGTAGTGTTATATGTGGGCAGGAGAGAGGCAGAGAAAGACATTTAGATAGATAGATAGATAGATAGATAGATAGCCAAATGCTTCCATAGGTTGCCAGATTAGACACAAACTTTCAACAACGACAAAAATTGACTTCTTCCACATCATTGGTAGACGTGTGTGTGTGTGTGTGTGTGTGTGTGTGTGTGTGTGTGTGTGTGTGTGTGTGTAAAAGACAGAACAACTTTACGCTGACGTTACTGAGGTGGTTAACTTCTGTGTGGTTAATTATCCGAGGCTGGGGCACAGGAGGGAGAGGGGGGGAGAAGGAGGGAGAGAGAGAGAGAGAGAGAGAGAGTGAAGAAGGGAGGAGGGAGGAGGAGAGAGAGAGAGAGAGAGAGAGAGGAATGGAAAGAAAGAAGAGATAGGGAAAGTAAGAGAGAGGTGATGAATAAGAGGGAAAGAGAAAGAAAGGGAAAAGAAGAGAGGATACCTAAGATAACTAGAAAGATAAGATTTAAAAGAAAAGCTAAACACAGAATAACAGAGAAATATAGTCACAAAAACACATAAAAGCTCTTTCACTATTATAACTTTAATTTTTGGTATATCGTAGCTGAAGATCGAAAGCTAACATGATGATAAATATTACTCTTTTCACAGCTAAAAGTTACCTTATATAGATTTAAACCTGATAGTCTTTGTCTCTTAGCTGAATATACATCATAAGACCACAACCAGTCACCTTCTCCTCCAAGCTTCTGATCTTAGCTGCCATCTGACCCACGGAGGAGCAAGACGCTGAACACTGTTGTTGACCTGAGTCGTGGGCGGGGCGGCGGGAGGGGCGATGGGCTTGGTTAGGGGGTTGTGAGGCACGCCATTGGCCAGGAGAAGGCACAGCTCCCCCCTCACTCTCCAGTTCACACGTGCTGTTGTCACCACGCAGACGATACCCTGAAATATGTAAACAAATCATTGACGTTTCATAAGGTGCGGTGGCCGAGTGGATGAAGCCCGCACTTCCTGTCATAAGGGTCGCTGGTTCGATTCCCGTGCACTCCCAGTTCACTGAGAAACTTTGAGAGGATAATGGAGGGTTTGTGGGTTAAGTTGAGAATTTAGGGCGTTATATAACTGTTGGAACTGAGGAATTTGGGGGCTGAGAGATCTGAGAATACTGTGAGTGTACCTGTGTGTGCAAGCCTGTGCGTGTGTGTTGTTTAGTGTGCGAGTATATGTATGTATGTATGTATGTACGTATTTGTATTATTGTAATCTAAGTTTAAGTATGATGTAGGTTTATATTTTTGTAGGGTCTCCTCCACTCTCCAGCAAGTCAATCTCGTCACCACCTCTCCTCAGGGACCTACGCTCTTGAAATTCTTGGAAGGCGAGACTGAAGGTGGCAGACGTGTGGAGAGGGACCGTCCTCACCTTGGTATAATATCAGGCCCCCTTAAGTTCCACCCAAATGATAAACATAGTCCAATATTACGTGGCTACACCTCATTACACACTGTTTACGTGGCTACACCTCATTACACACTGTTTACGTGGCTACACCTCATTACACACTGTTGGCGTGGCTACACCTCATTACACACTGTTGGCGTGGCTACACCTCATTACACACTGTTGGCGTGGCTACACCTCATTACACACTGTTGACGTGGCTACACCTCATTACACACTGTTGGCGTGGCTACACCTCATTTCACACTGTTGACGTGGCTACACCTCATTACACACTGTTGGCGTGGCTACACCTCATTACACACTGTTGACGTGGCTACACCTCATTACACACTGTTGACGTGGCTACACCTCATTACACACTGTTGACGTGGCTACACCTCATTACACACTGTTGACGTGGCTACACCTCATTACACACTGTTTGCGTGGCTACACCTCATTAACATATTCACTACGATAACTAAAGCATGACGTCTTACAGCCTTGGTCACCATTCTGGCGACGTTCAGCACTAACTCAAGAGTTCTGCCTCAAGCCCTGACTCCTGAAGAAGTTAAATTACTCCTGTTGTATAATAGGTTGAGAGGATCCCATCGTCAGGAGAGTTATTGCTTCTTGGTGACTGGTTTAATGGGCCCCAGTTCTAGTGGGTATTTGTCCTATCGGGCCCCTCCCCAGTCTTAATAGTCACCAGTCCTATGGGGCCTCAATCTTCATGGACCCCAATTCTTATGGTTATATTAGTCTGGGACTCATTACAAGTGGGACCAATTAGGACTGGGATCACTTCAAACCTAACCTAACCAGAACAAAAATCCTGGCATTTTAAATTTGATTTAACCAGCCTAAGACTTGGTGCTATCATCCACCACCCTCTTAACATGATGACAATAACAATCAAATGTACTAAAGATAATATACATTAATCTGTTTTCCTTTCTTCTCTCCCTGAAATTCTTGCTTTTCTCCTCCTTTTTTCGTTTCTCCCTGTTCTTTCTTCTTGCTTGTTCCCCTCTGTTTTCTGTTCTTAATCCAACTCTCTCCTCTACTCTTCCCCATCTCTCGTCTATCTCTCTATTCACCCCCTTTCTCTTAAACCTTTCCTTTCCTTAGTCCCTACCTTATCTACTTCTTTTTTTCTTCATTCTACTCCTATTCTTCTTCCTACTCGTCTACCTCATCATCCTCTTCTACTTCCTTCTATTGCTCTCCTTTTACTCTTCCTTCTCCCACTCCTCCTTCTACTTTACTCTTGTCCCTCCCCTCCTACTCCTCCTCCTCCTTCCCCGTTTCCGACCTCTCTGCCCCCACAAGATCGAGAGTTCTATCACTGCATGTTCGACGTTAGCTCCAGCAGGTCAAGGGTACAAGATTAACGGCCCCACGTCCGCCCCAGAAAGAAATAATGTGGTGGTGCTCCCGTGGCCGTAAACATGCCTGTACCGCGTCTAGAACTTCAGCTCTCCAGAGATAAGACGCCTTTAAACTCTTCCATCTCCCGTTCTTAAACTTTCAGGCAACGATTTTATGGGATTACTTCTCTTTAGTAAACATTTGTGTCTCAGCTGGAATTTAAAGAATTTCCAGAATATGAATTTTCGCGCCTAAAATATGTGATTTTATTTAGTTTATTATTCACGGATCGTCTGAAATATTAACTCTTAGGTACTAGATGTCTTCAATTCCCTTTTCTTTACGGTCGTGAACGAAAGATCCCAAAGAAGTGTTACAAGTTTTATTTTTTTATTATTATTATTAAACCTTCACCACTTGTCAATGTATGTTCAGATCTTTAGATATGAAACGTCTTAAATATTCTAGTCATCCAAAGTCTTCACAGGATTATTCTGTAGACCTGCTAAAGCTAACCCTTATATTCTCTGTGTGATAGTCTGGAGTTTAAGCTGTCATGGGGTTATACGGCACCTTAGTTCTTACCAGTCACACAGTTTCTAGCCCAGGATCCGGTACATTGTTCACCCCCTTTGCTTATCCCTGAGCCTCTCTCTCTCTCTCTCTCTCTCTCTCTCTCTCTCTCTCTCTCTCTCTCTCTCTCACCTGGACGGCAGGAACAGGTGAAGGTGCCAGGTTCGTTGACACACTCGTGCCCACATCCGCCATTTTGACTCGCACACTCGTCGATGTCTGCAAGTGGAGGTAGACCCAGGTGGAGGTAGACCCAGGTGGAGGTAGACCCAGGTGGAGGTAGACCCAGGTGGAGGTAGACCCAGGTGGAGGTAGACCCAGGTGGAGGTAGACCCAGGTGGAGGTAGACCCAGGTGGAGGTAGACCAGGAGAGGGTAACAAGAAGGTTATATTAATACCATCACACAGGAAGTTCATATTATCAACCTGACGTAAACAGGGAACATCTGACCTAATGAACTTAGGTATGAGATTTATACTCAAACTACTGTACCAAACTACTGTACCAAACTACTGTACCAAACTACTGTACCAAACTACTGTACTGCACCAAACTGTTGTACCAAACTTTCACTACATTGTAATCTACAAATTATTAATTACAAAGGAAAAATATGTAAGGGATAATTCGTATGTAGTCTATAGTAAAGTCTCAAGGTAATACTAACGCCATTTTGTAATTCTTAATTCTTGATCCAGTTAGATACGTCTTATGTATATCCTGATTAAAGATAATTTTATTTTGACCTTACGAGTTTTTGAGACTCTGATCCCGAGTTTACTGGTGATAATGATCTAAAATATGTATTATATAATTCTCAATAATCTTATATAACTATAGATATAATATGGATAAAAATATAAAGAAAGGAGGAGTTTTTTATTATTAATTTTGATAAGTCTCTCTCTCTCTCTCTCTCTCTCTCTCTCTCTCTCTCTCCTACTCACCAAGGCACACAGGTTTAATTCCTCTCTTATGGTTCTCTGGACTGAAGCGATACCCAGAGTAACAGGTACAGATCACTCGGCCGAAATACACGGAACATTTCTGCTCACAAAAGTCCTGAGAACACGGGTCCACTGTATCCGGCAGACACCTGTGGGAGACGGGGGTTAACAGGTGTTGTGGTGGTGATGGTGATGGTAGTGGTGGTGATGCTGGTGTCGGTGGTGGTGGTGGGACTAGTGGCAGGTGGGGGAAGTAGAGGAGGGGGATTTTAAGTGGTGGGGAGAGCTTTGTGGTGGTTAAAGGTGAGGGGGTTAAGTGGTAGTAGTGGTGTTATGGTACGATGGTTGTAGTTGTTGTTGTTGTTGGTGGAGATGGTGGTTGGGCGAGTGAAGGTGTAGTAGTAGTGATGGTGGTAGCGAAGGTGTGGTAGTAGTAGTGGTGGTGGTGGTAGTAGTAGTGGTGGTAGTGGTGGTGGTGACGAAGGTGTGGTAGTAGTAGTGGTAGTTTGAGAAAAATCAGACAGACAGACAGACAGACAGACACTGTACACGAGGCAACCTGTCCCATTAACACACACACACACACACACATACACACACACACACACACATACTCGACTGTCTACTGAAGTGCACTTAGGTGAAGTAAATAGGTGAGGGAAGTATCTAGATGAGAAAAGTACCTATGTGAGGACTAACTTTGGGGAGGAAAGTACTTAGGTGAGAAATGTACTAGGATGAGGGAAGTACTTGGGTGAGGGAAGTACTTAGGTGAGAAAAATACTTGGGTGAGGGAAGTACTTGGGTGAGGTAAGTATTTAGGTGAGAAAAATACTTGGGTGAGGGAAGTACTTAGGTGAGAAAAATACTTGGGTGAGGGAAGTACTTGGGTGAGGAAAGTAAGTAGTTAGTGAGGGAAGTACTTAGGTGAGAAAAATACTTGGGTGAGGGAAGTACTTGGGTGAGGAAAGTAAGTAGTTAGGTGAGGAAAGTAACTAGATGAAGGAAGTACCTAGGTGAAGGAAACAGGTGAGGGATGTATACAGGTAGGGAGGTACCTAAGTGAGGAAAGTACTTAGGTGAAGTAAACAGGTGAGGAAAGTACCTAGGTGTTGGAAATAGGTGAAGAAAGTACTTAGGAGAGGGAAGTACCTAGGTGATGAAAATAGGTGAAGAAAGTACTTAGGAGAGGGAAGTATCTAGGTGATGGAAATAGGTGAAGAAAGTACTTAGGAGAGGGAAGTACCTAAGAAGGAAGTACTTACCTGCCGGCGACAAAGTTGTACCCCTGGCAGCAGTGTCTTCGGAAACAGTCAACCCATTGCTCGCGGACCTGACACTTGTACCTGGTGGTGATAACGTTGGCGCTCGGGCACTCTAGGGTGTCGGACCTGGGGGTAGAGAACATGACCTGAGGGTAGAGAACATGACCTGGGGGTAGAGAACATGACCTAGGGGTAGAAAACATGATTAATAAAACGTGTCCTCTCTCCCTCTCTTGGTTCACCACACCTTCCCTTATCTCCACAATACAACCCTTATCTAAAGTCATTAAGAAACGTTTTTAAAGGAGACGAGAGACCAAATTTGTACCGAGACATTGTAATGGCGAGACTCCTTACTGTATTGCTCAGTTTGACGTTTTATTCAGATTCTTAATTCTATAGAGAGAAATTGTTTGGATAAAAGGTGTCATTTGAGGCGTGTGTGTGTGTGTGTGTGTGTTTGACTCACTGGTTCATAATGGTGTTGACTCATTATATTTTTAGAGGGAGGGGAACCAAGGGGGAAATTATATCCATCTGAAATTGAAACAGTTTATTTACCCAGGAAATACTGATGGGGCAGTATGTGTTTATTAAGAAATATGTATTAATATTGGTTGGGCGTAGTGAGGGTTGAGGTTGACTCACTCTCTCTTTAAGATAACCTTACCTGGTGATAATACTTGACCCTTGCAGTCCTAACTGATAATAACAAGGACCTGATGACCTTACCTGGTGATAATACTTGACCCTTGCAGTCCTAACTGATAATAACAAGGACCTGATGACCTTACCTGGTGATAATACTTGACCCTTGCAGTCCTAACTGATAATATCAAGGACCTGATGACCTCACCTGGTGACAGCCTCCAGTTCATCAAGGAAGAACCCGCCTCTTTCCTCATACAGGTCGTCAGCGGCTGTTTGAAGGGGCGTGGCGGCTGTGGAGGAGGATGTTGACTCTCCCCTGAAGGTATGGAGAGGGCTCCCTTCCTCCCTTTCTCCCACCACTTCACCTTCCTCCTCCTCCTTCTCCTTCATCTTCCCTTGGTGGATTTGAGAGAGGCGATAGAGTGCCTCAGTGGGACCCCCTTCCACCTTTTCCACGACCTTCCCGCGGTGGAGGTGAGACAGGCGATAGAGAGCATCTCTAGGACCCTCTTCTTCCGTCTCTTCCACTTCCTCTTCCACTTTCCCATGGTGGATCTGGGAGAGGCGGTGGGCGGCCTCCTGGTGAGATAGTGGATGTGGGGCGTCTTGGTGGAGAAGAACGGAGGAGGCGTGGGTGGAGGACGCCCACACCACCACCCACAACACCACCGTCACCCACAACCTGTAAGGGGCGCTGCTGGAGGGGGATTTATATAGGTTTATACGAATTGAATTATATTTACATGAATGTTTTGATTAGCGATTATTTCTAGGTATTTTTCTTTATTGGAAACTTTTGGCAATTTACATGATATATTCTGATATATATGAATTAATTTATAGTTCTTGGGGATTTATATAATTTATATGATTTAATGTTGGAATCTATGGGTCTAAATTCACCTGTATGGATTTGGCTCGATGTCGATTTATATATATGTGAGTTTCTATGACTTGTGTTTATATAAATGTGTCCATGTAGTTGTCTCGGGATTGATAATCTTATATAGGTTTGCATGAGTTTAGAAATATTCATAATGTAACATACTGTGTGTGTGTGTGTGTGGCAGCAGAAGCAGTCACCACCTAACACAGGTAAAGTCATATATTGTACCATAGTGTTAGAGGTACTCACGTCTTGGTGTTCATATTCACGATGGACGTAATGTTTACTGCTCACTCAACAATAACTTTTGTTTCTTATCCACGTCTTTTGTTCCACTGTTTACATTATCACTCGCTTTTGTTTTTACAGTTCAAGGCTCGTTTTTTTTACCCTCTATTCTGTTTACGTGAACCTGTTTATTATTGTTTTCTAAGATGTTTTTATGGCACTTGTTTACGAGATGAGATCATTTTTGTTAGATCACTGTTTGTAGTCCCTCCTTGGCACTCTGGCACTCGGCGCACGAATTACAGACACTTTGTTTAGATCTACCCAACCCCAAGGTCCTCCCTCCTTCCTGCCCGGGCATCTGGACCCCCGCGCTGCCGCACACACAGGAAAAGTGTCTAGCGTGACGGAGGGTCGGGAGCGTGTAGCGTGAGGCTCGTCCTTCTTGGGGGGAGCGACTCAGATTTTGCAACAATTCTGTTTTGGAAATTGGAATGTAAATTTTTGTTTGATGATACATGTATGGGTGTGGAGGTGATCGTGCGGCTGGCAGGTGTGTAGGTTAGTAAGAAGATAGAGAGGAGGGACGGCCGACAGACAGTGGTGGCGTTGTCCATGGCTCCGACCGCGGATCTCCACAAGCTGCCGGATATTCCCATACAGCCCCATCTAGTCGCCCAAACCGCTCGTGTAATTACCTTCAACATCTTCTTCTGACTGTCTACAACCACTGTCACCAGTGGACGACAGACAACAAGTTGCAAGGGCACTCGGCGAGTTCTGGAGGGCAAGGGTTCACGCTAGGGGGGGCCGACATCGAACCCAAGAGGGGATCCGGTAGTCTCAATTGGCTACTAGTGCCCCATCACCAGTTTTATTTTGGTCTTATTCCCCTCCTACGCCCTTCAGTACACACCGCTCATTATACACATCAGCTTCAAGTGTGTGTTACCATCATTATAGAATACCTTAAACATGTTGAAACAAACATAAGAATAATTTACAACGAAAAAAGAAGAAAAAAAAAGCGTGAAAGAAATAGTTGTTATAGAGAGTGAGAGAGACTGTTTATATCTCCCACTTGACCCTTTGTGAAGAGCAGTATCAGTCGGCGGCAAGCAGAGGTCGCCTCTCCTCGTCACTTATAACATACTAACAAAAACATGGTGTCTTGATTTATAACTTTGTATGATATATAAGCCAGTGTGTGCTAGTGCAGCCATGGGCGAAGGAAACACTGTATGTCTGAGAGCTTTACCACCCATCTCTCATTAACATATTCCACAGCTGTCAGCCATATAGACATTATCTGTGTTACTTTCGCGAACATTTCCTATATACACTAAAACCAAACTAAATAAATATAACATTACGTTAAAAGAAACACTTTCAATAACCAAAAAAGTCAACTCCATCTTACGTTATGTTCCGGGAAGACTGTAAAGCGGCTCAGTGTAGAGAATTAATATATTATTGCTGTAAAGAGACGAATGTTAACGTATATAACTGTTCTTGTATGTATACCTGACGTGTTGTTTCAGATGTAACAAAATTATATATATATATATATTGATTGGCGTAGAAAATAATGATAAGACTTACAGCAATTTGACTCCATGTTCCTTCTCCTCACTTAAGTTAGTCCTTCTTCTTCTTCTTCTTCAATTATTATGTTACCTTTGTGTTTGCCTGAGGTATAGTTACATTTCCTGTGTCTGTGTACTGTGAAATAATATCACTTCGTCTTTTTTTATTTTGTGTTTTCTTATACCAGTCAATATAATGATATACCAGTCAATATAATGGTATACCAGTCAATATAATGGTATACCAGTCAATATAATGATATACCAGTCAATATAATGATATACCAGTCAATATAATGATATACCAGTCAATACAATGGTATACCAGTCAATATAATGATATACCAGTCAATATAATGATATACCAGTCAATATAATGGTATACCAGTCAATATAATGGTATACCAGTCAATATAATGGTATACCAGTCAATATAATGATATACCAGTCAATATAATGATATACCAGTCAATATAATGATATACCAGTCAATATAATGGTATACCAGTCAATATAATGATATACCAGTCAATATAATGGTATCGAATTACTTTTTGTATTTTTTTGTTTTATTTTCGTGCACTGAGAGAATTTATAACGTTTAGTGGATGATGGTTTAAACTTTAACCTTTAGTGGATGATGGTTTAAACTTTAACCTTTAGTGGATGATGGTTTAAACTTTAACCTTTAGTGGATGATGGTTTAAACTTTAACGTTTAGTGGATGATGGTTTAAACTTTAGCCCTTTGAGGATGTTGGTCTAAACTTTGACCTTTTGTGGATGATGGTTTAATTTATAACCTCTTGTGGATGGTGGTTTAAACTATAAACCTCAGAGGATGATGGCTTAAACTATAAACCTCAGAGGATGATGGCTTAATTTATAACCTCTTGTGGATGGTGGTTAAAACTATAAACCTCAGAGGATGATGGTTTAAACTATAAACCTCAGAGGATGGTGGTTTAAACTATAAACCTCAGAGGATGGTGGTTTAAACTATAAACCTCAGAGGATGATGGTTTAAACTATAAACCTCAGAGGATGATGGTTTAAACTATAAACCTCAGAGGATGATGGTTTAAACTATAAACCTCAGAGGATGGTGGTTTCAACTATAAACCTCAGAGGATGGTGGTTTAAACTATAAACCTCAGAGGATGGTGGTTTAAACTATAAACCTCGGAGGATGGTGGTTTAAACTATAAACCTCAGAGGATGGTGGTTTAAACTATAAACCTCAGAGGATGATGGTTTCAACTATAAACCTCAGAGGATGGTGGTTTAAACTATAAACCTCAGAGGATGGTGGTTTAAACTATAAACCTCGGAGGATGGTGGTTTAAACTATAAACCTCAGAGGATGATGGTTTAAACTATAAACCTCAGAGGATGATGGTTTAAACTATAAACCTCAGAGGATGATGGTTTAAACTATAAACCTCAGAGGATGATGGTTTAAACTATAACCGATTGAGGCTAATACTATACGCTACAGTTGTCAATCTTTTAACCTTTTCTTGTTTTTGAAGTCCCAAGTTTACTTAAAAACTCGAGCGAGTTTTTTGTCATTATAACTGGTATGTTTTTCCCTTTTTCAGTAAATATTATATAAACCAGGTGCTGTAAGGTGCTTTAAGATGGTTTCAGTGTGACACCTATTGTCCCAAAATGGTTCTCCACCCAGCCGGTCCCGACAACACCCGAGGTACAATAAAAGCCTTGGTGTATTATTCAAGAACAGATCCATTCTTGTCTAATAATAAAAACTTAATTGGACACTTCCAATATTTAGTTAAGACTTTATACAAATTGTAAAAAAAACTATCCTTAACATATAAGCAATATCTTAATTGATCGCCCCTACAGGAAAGAAAGTAGAACAGTGGGTGAAAGTAAAGACAAGAGATACTGGCAGTGACAACAACAACGCCATGGCTTACAATAATTAAGCACAATAACCCCAACTGTATACACTTTGTACAATTATCACCATCATCACGCCTAACACAGCCACTAGGACTGTGCTTATAGGTCCATCCCATCCCCAGATCACGCGAATCGGGATGATTTTTTTCAGAGATGCTGCTTACTACATCAACACTACACGAGAGTTCACTACGGTGAGTCCTTGAGTGGTCAGTCATCAACGCCAAGTAGCCATCATGAGAGTCCGAAGACTCGGGGTCCATAGAGTGGTCGGGTCTCGCGAGGGTCGTCATCGTATAGTCAATCCTTCGGGGTCCAATAGAGGTCCTTAGACGTCGTCTTAGCCGGGGTGTTGCGCATCCTTCAGCAGCAGTTCCTATGTCTGATCCAGACGCCTCCTGCGTCCACACGGTGTCTCCACCACTACTCGGGTCACTCCTGCACCTCCATGACCTCCGAGAGAAGCCTCGGCTGTAAGGAAGTAACCAGAATGCTCGATGGCTCCACCTTGGCAACTCGGCTGCGCATGAAGAGGACATCATAGCTGCTGAATGCGAGAGTCGGAGTTGGGTTGAATTATTTGAAACAGACTGGACCCGCCTCGAAGCCGAACGCCTGGTTGGGAAGGCCGTAGTCCGTAGGCTGGAAGTCGACGAGGGGGAGATGGGCCAGGTCCTTCGATCGAACTTCAAACACTGTCTGCGTTTTCCCTGGTACACCACTTTTCGTCTGTAAAAGAGAAATTCGTCACTTCGGGAACACAAGGAGTTTACTATAGAACATCTCGTGTCACTATCAGTTAAAAGGAAAAATTTGCCTTAAAGACCATATGGCTCTCTAACAAGAAAAAAAAATATGGTTAACTAAAAGCACATCCTGAGGTGAAGGAGGGGGAGAGACTCACAGCACATCCGTCGGTGAGAACGTTCGGTTTGATCGTATCGATGGAAAATATCTGTTCGTCCTGCCCCATGAGCTTGATGGCCTTGTTGTGGTTGAGGTTGTCCTCGTCGAACCAGGCCTTAGACTGGACGCAGGTGTAGGTGAAGTTCTGATAGGCATAGGAGGACAGTAGCCTCAGGAAGGTCATCTGGACCACGCCCGTCGTCTCGTACGTGATCTGAGACAACAGGAGTTAGTAGAGGTAGGAAGTGTCGAGTCCCATTGAACACTGTTATTTATTGGGGTCATTATACATTGTAAAAAGGAGAAATTCATATTAACACTTTATTACATACTGCAGAAATGATCAAGTCCTTGAAGGTGCTGCGTTTCTGAGTCCTAATGTCATCGTTCTCGACGGGTAAATCATCGTACTTAAGGGATAAGTCATTGTACTCGAGGGGATAAGTCATCGTACTCAAGGATTAAGTCACTGTACTCAAGGGGTTAAGTCATCGTACTCAAGGGGTTAAGTCGTCGTACTTAAGGGATAAGTCATTGTACTCGAGGGTAAATCAACGTATTTAGAGGTAAAAGGTTATGAAATTACAGTATAGTAAAAAAAAGTCTAAATATAAATAAGTTCTCTGAATAAAATTGTATGTGGGTGTATGTGTGTGTGTTTGTATGTGTCTATATGTGTATGTGTGTGTTTGTATGTGTCTATATGTGTATGTGTGCTCCCATATGTTTGCCTGTGTGTGTGGGAGGCTTAAATGTACGTGTGTGTGTGTGTATTGTAACTTTGTGTATGTGTGTGTTTGTATCAGTCTGTGTATGTGTGCTCCCATATGTTTGTCTTTGTGTGTGGGAGGCTTAAATGTACGTACGTACGTGTGTGTGTGTGTGTGTGTGTGTGTCTTATTTAAACCTTCAAGAAGAAAGTACACTCAACCCCCTTCAGGTAAATCCACCTCCCTCGCTTGGCGCCGCGCCCTCAAGCCTACATAAATGCTTCCCTAGTCACTCCATCCACCCTTGAAATCCACCTCCACACATCACCTCCTTACCGGAAATCCGCCCCTGAGGTCGGAGAACCATGCATCCTCCCTGGCGGTTCTCCTCCAGGGGATGTTGATGATCTTGGAGGAGTGCACGTCGGGGAACACACACGTTTCACCGGACACCGTCATGTTGCAGAAGACGTAGACCGCATCGTCAGGCATACCGAGGTTAGGGTCAATCCAGTACCAGCCATCTGAGGGTGGTAAAGGGAGATTACTGGTGAGAGAGTGGTAGGGAGCGGGATGAGAGGGGCATTGTGAGTGGGAGACTGGTGTGAGAGGGCCTTGGGAGGATGAGAGAGTGTGTGAGAAGCTGACAGCTAATTTTGGTGGCAGTTTACCAAATGAGATGACTAACTTCTTACCTCTTTGGATGATAATATTAATAATAATACAAATTTTCCCCAAAATATTTATAGTAAATTATCCTATGATTCATTAATCTCTCTCTCTCTCTCTTGCTCTTCCTGAACCACTTCTAGTTCTCCATTCCTTGTTTCTCTCATCTATCTGTTTCTTCTACTAACTCTATTTTCTTCCTCTTCTAACCCTTCCTTCCTCGAGTTCTCGTAGTTCTTCATTCGTTCTTTTCACCCTCTAAACCTTCATCTTTCCTTCCTTCCTTCCTTCCTTCCTTCTTTCCTCTAATTCTCCACTCATTCACTCATCCATTCATACATCCTTCTTTCATCCATTCCATCCTCCAATCCCCCCACTCATCCAACCATCCATCCTTCATCTCACCTTTGAACTTGGGATGCCCGTAGTAAAGATCCTTGCAAGTCCTGGCTGGGTTATCCTTCGTGCCAATTGGTTTCTTCATCCTCTCCAGATCCTGCCTCATGGTATAGATGTTGGTGTACATGTCCATCAGTTTAATATCGAAGTCATCTCCTGCCTCACCCTTACGACGAGTCTTGCGTTCTCTGTGGGAATGACCGAACTGGATAAGTGAGATCAAAACAGTCTCAGCAATGGTGTGTTAATTTATGTGTACGGTTAGAGGGATAGATTTGGGTATGGTTGATGGATGGATTTTGTTATGAGTGATCGATGGATTTTGGAATAGTTGATGGATATGTTTTGGTATGGTTGATGAGTGGAGACAGAGAAGGGCAGAAGTATGGTTGATGGATGAAGACAGTTATAGACGTCTGGATGGTCGAGGAATGAAGGAAGTCATCCAGAAAGCGCGCTGAAGGTCGACCTCGAGGCCAGACAACAGCCTTATCTGATGGTTGTGAAGGGCGTGCTCCGTGAATGAGGATCAGCGTCACTGTACACAGACTTCTGGTTGGTGGTATGACGGAACAGTAGGCTGGTTGATTGTCGTGTTGGGGTGAGCTGGCTAGTTTTGGCCAGGATTTGTATCGTTGGTAGCACAAACGAGCGATTGCTTGATGTAACGTATAATGTGTGCTGATGAAAATTCTGATCTAATACGATAAAATTATTGAAGTTTATAAGTTGGTCATATAATAAGTAACCTCATATACATATGTTTTGTGTAGGTACGCGGTAAAAAACTTATCTGTCCCGATGGGTGCAATGCTTTTCGAAATGATCAATATGACTCATGTTGTCTCGGTAGGGTTGTTAAGACCTTCGACCGTTGTGTCATATTGTTTCACACAAACTGTGGCTAGAAACATTTTTTTTACCATGTGTATCTTTATGCTTACAAGATCATCGAGGTTGTTATTATCACTGTATGGTGCAGTCAACCAAAGATGTATACTGACCCCACCCTGGATCTTGTGCTCGCAATACTTGATAAAGTAAGTCTGTATGTAATGGTGATTGTTCCTATATTTGTTTAAATAATGAAGAAAATTTGATGTGAGAAGCCTGTGGCAGCTGTGGTTGTAGTTGAGTTGCCAATTCATTAATATAATTTCTACATTATTTAACCAAATTTACGAATTTTTGGAAACTTTTTATGACCTTAAATAATGACGAATAGTTTATTATTATAAAAATTCTACCTTTGGTTTGTTTAATATTCATCCTGACAGTGATACAGCTGAAAACAGATCCACCAATCACAATCACCATTACATACAGCTTTACTTTACCAACCATTGCCAGATAAAATTGCGAGCACGAGACCCAGGGTGGAGTGAGTGTATATCTTGGCTGACTGCACAAGTTGTTTCAATAATAATAATATTTGGGCGCCGTTATGTGTAACATTAATAAGTCTCTACCTTAGTAAAAATATGAAGAATTCGGCCGTATTTATATTTTTACTTAAAGGAGATAATTATAAAGTGATAACCTTGTAGCGGCCCACCTGAGCTGCCCCAGTACAGGCTGCCCGGTGTAGGGAACTCACTCACCTTGGCCGACAGTGAAAAGTGAATCTGGATCCCGTAGGCATGACTGCCAGTTTTGAATAGTGAATAGTGTGGACACGGCACACTATGTACCAAGCCTCCGGTACGTAAGTTGTTAGTGTGGCTGTGCACGGTCTGTTAGTGTGGTCGTGCACGGTCTTCACTGTTTGTAAAGTTAGGTACTGTACGTCTTAACAGCTACGTGGGTCAAAAGTGCCATGGGATGGAACCAATGACTTAAGGACAGGAGGCGAGTTTTGTATCCATGCAGCCACTGCATTTCTAGTCTACCGAGGCAAGTGCCAATTCTAATAAGTAAATCGAAAAAAAAAGAAAAACTATTGAAGACAGAAGTTCATGTAACAGGTGATTCAATTAGATAAATATTTTCACAGGTGTCTGTGTCCACTTATGCTCACGCCCATACACTCCTCCGTCCACAAGACCACGCCCCAGGAAGGTGTCGTGACGATGTTGGCTCCTTAAACATTACATGTAATCAACCTCATGTTGTTGCCGTCAAGGAACTGTGAGAATATAATAACTTGGACGAGAAGCGTGTCTTACAGTGAGGTATGGACGAGAGGCGTGTCTTACAGTGAGGCATTATCTGCACCCTAATATTATTTCCAAGATTTTAATGTATAATAACTATAGTGAGTGAGAACACCGCTCAACAACAATGGTTCTTCTTAAATAAGTAAAAGTGAATGTGAGTCCAATGGGCCTGACGACCCGTTAAGGGGTACAGCCGGTACTGCAACCTTCACTTCCCCACCCACTCATTGCTACTGAAGGTGGAGTGGGGATGTGAACCAGCGACCTTAGGTACTGTACAGTGAACTAGTGTAAGGGGTGATCTAATGATAAGAATGACATGTGAAGCAATAGCAACCTTAGTATTAGTACACAATAGAGTTAGATGACATGTGCTGGGTGTTCCGGAGGTGCTTGGCCGCACTAACAGACCCGTCTTATTCCTGCCATCGTTCTTAAATCGTATCAAACGCATATTTCCTACCAAGTTTATTCTTAAAATTCCTTATCAACTAATTTCCTAATATATTTCCTGGAACTAATACAAGTAAAAAAAAATCTATGTGACTATTAAGTTTGTGATAAGTAGTAGTAAAGTAGACCAAAAACACGTCGGTGAGAGGAGGCAGGACCCCTGTACTAACCTGAATTTGTTACCACCACCATGACCACCAGATTGTTGCCCCGAGTTACCTCGCGCTCTGCCGCCACGACTCTTGTTCCGTCTGTAAGAGTCACCGGTCAGAACACAACCACTCCCTCCGTTACGCTAACACAACCTCCGTCGACCCTCAGACAAGTGAAGGTAGACTAGACAATATCGGAGGGAGAACAGATCGATCTAGTTATGTAAGTCATTAAAATAAAAAGTGTTCTAAGTGGACACACGGTGAAGATAATTAATAATATAAAAGACTACGGATAATTTAGACCATAATTAATGTTTGTTTGTAGATAAAACTGTCGTTTGTGTGAGTAGTAACTCCAGTGTGTTGGTTTCCTCATGAGTGTCTCTCCTTTTGAACCTTCACTGTGTTGTTTATCATACTGGTGCTTGTTGTGTGTAGTTCCTTGACCGGGGAGTCTTCCTCCTCCCTTAGTGTCCACCCTGGCCTTGAATCTTCGCTAAAATGCTCAAAAGCTAAAGTCTACTTTGAGATATAACGAAAAAGGTCAATGATGAGCCAAGACGGACACAGACAGGGCTGATGGAGCGGCTCCCCGAGTGTGAGTGTTTGGCCTCCCTCACACGTTGTCTATACTTACTGTACTATGTCTGTAATTATGAGTGTCATTTAACACTGTATTATAAGGTGTTTTTAGATACAATTTGGGGATTTTAATGTGTTCTTTAGTTCAGGTAATGTCATTCATGTCATTTGACAAATGACTGTCATAATGGAGTGATTTCTATCACAGGAAGAGTACACTTGTGCCAGGCACCGACTGACTATTCCACATGGCACGAGTCATCAGGTTCAGCCTGGCCGTCAACAGGACCTGTAATATGTCACACTCATGACAGGTCATGGTACACCGAGTGACATAACCATGATGCCCTGGCGTTGTGTCATTCTATGGATGTGTTTGTTTACACGTGTCATTATGGTGTAGGTATAGCCGATTATGGGGTGTCGTATGGCTTAGGTAGGATCAATTATGGAGTGTCATATGACTTGGGTAAGGCCGAGAATGGGTGTCATTTGCTTGAATAGGGTCTATGATAGGGTATCATATGGCTTAGATAGGGTCGATTATGAGGTGTCATATGACTTAGGTTAGGCCGATTGTGGGTGTCGTATGGCACATCTCAGGTATAATTTAGCCAGGTGGTGAGATAAAGGGGCGGGTGCAGCTGTGGGCGTGGGCGAGTGACCACAAGAGTCTGAGAGTGACAGAGCGGCCGCCAAGCTACACAGTTGTGGGTCACTCCACTCGTGCAAAGGTTCATGTCAGGATCAGCAAGTTGGCTGGACGTAGCGTTTATTCCTCAGGTAGGTAGAGGTGTTTAGGGGGAGAGGGTATAAGCACGACAGTTGCCACAAAGCTCAACATTTTAAAGCTGGGTTGTTGCGTGGCGAGGGCTGGGGGGAGATGCTGGCCATCATAGCTCAGGATGCTGGGGAGTCCATTGACTAAGCAAGTTCCCTGTTCCGTCCCTGATGCCCACGGGTGACTGGAGCTGTGGTAATAAGTGCCAGCGAGGGCAGTGTGGTACTCAAGGCGAGTAACAGTGCAATGAAGCGGTGCCAAGGAGGAGCCAACAATGTCATCTTGGTGTAGGTGGACCTCGGTGGATGACCTGGCTCGTCACACTCACCTATCCACCTGACTGGGACTGGGCCTCCGACGCCTACCTCCTCCTCGCCCTCCTCTCCCAGGGTAAAGGGGGTTTTCAGGCTGAGAGGAGGAGTTACATTCCTCGCCTATCCTACAGTCGTCGTCCGGCCTGGAAAACCCTTGAGTCAGTACCTGTGTGTGGCGAGGCTCATGCTGGTGTTGGGCGGAACCTAACAATTGTCCTGCGGCGCCTCCCTGCCTCCAGTGGGTAAGTTATATCTGCATCGTATATAAATGATGAACTGTTACCTTGATCACTTAATGTCTATCTGTCTATTAAACTCACCCCACTCCCACTTTTTCGTACCTCATAAGATATAAAAAGCCACTAAGCTTCATATCAATCTAATATTTATACTAAGTTGAGTTGAAAGAATCATTCCTGCCAACATTATCACACACACACACACACACACACACACACACTCTAACTCTTCTTTCTACATAGTTAAAGTAAACTCACATTTTGTTTCCCTGTCACATACCATAACTTTGCTCTCCCCAGCTTGACCAGTAACCGTGTTTACTTTCACAGACTTTATAATACTTCAAGGAAAATCGATTGAGAAGGAAAAATAGAATAAATCTTATCACTTTCGCACTCCTGATCAATACCATTTTCGTACTCCTGATCAATATCAATATCATACTCCTGATCAATACCAATATCGTACTCCTGATCAGTATCAATATCGTACTCCTGATCAATATCATACTCCTGATCAATATCAATATCGTACTCCTGATCAGTATCAATATCGTACTCCTGATCAATCGGGGAAAAGTGGGAAGAAAAATGAGGTACAAAGTTTTTATCTGACTACTGCTAATACTACCAACGACAACAGTTCCCTACACCACTGACCCGAGCGCCATCCATCCCAAGGCTGCTGGGGTCACACCGCCTGGACCCTCAAAATCGCGTTTCTTAATTAACTGGTTTAAAGATTCTCAGATAAAATTAACAGCGAAGTTGATGTCGGAATTATAAGGAGAGAAAATAGTATTTAGAGATTTTGAGGACGAGACCGCAGGGCACCTAGTGAGCCGCCTCCTCCCTCACTTACTTGGCTGCCCTCTTGAAGCGTTCAGAGTCGTCAGGATCATAGGGAGCATCACGCTGGAAGAGAAGTTCTGGAGGCAACAGTGGCAGCTCCCCAGGTGGACCGGGGGGACCTGGAGGACCATATGGCCCTGTCTCTCCTTTGGGCCCTGTGGAACCTGGTACTCCCTTTGGACCGTGGGGACCCCCTAATCCAGGTAGACCTTGGGGACCATCGGCACCCTTGTTTCCTATGTTGCCGACAGGACCCTACCAGTGGAAGAACAAATGAAGGGGAGTTAGTCTTGTCAATACTCTCGTCACACACTATAACACTAAGTTAACATTTTTCCTTTAAGAGAATACAGCACTTATGTCCCTCATCCTCACGACTATCATGAATGGTTAATATTAATTCCAGAGGATCAGTTTGGTGCTGCTGACACTCACTGCTGTATATAACACTACAATTTGGACCATGGGATTCTCCTCCACGGATACCTACGGGCTCGCCCTTGATGCCAAGAGGTCCTTGAGGGCCCTTCATGCCCGGCTCGCCTTTTTCGCCCATCTCGCCCTTAGATCCAGCAATACCAATCTCTCCTCGGTGGCCTTTAGATCCTCGCCGTCCTCGTCTGCCCTTCTGTCCCGTCTGTCCACTGCTCCCAGGCAGACCAGGTTGGCCGACCTTGCCCTCCTTGCCCGGCACACCCACTTCTCCCTGAAGAACAAGTTAACCTCAACACGTGCAGCCTTAGTATGTACTACGTGCAGCCTTAGTATGTACTACGTGCAGCCTTAGTATGTACTACATGCAATAATCGTAATTCAGAATACAAGCAACGTCTGTATCATCTCAGCTTACGTACTTTGTAATTGGTCTCTTCGGCAATATGGCGACTAATCAAAGTTGTTTTCATATTTTGTTATTTGATTTTGACGAATCTTTTTGTCAGTTGATTCTATTTAAATGTGTCCAAGTATCATTATACGTGACAGTGACCTGAGTGTAAACAAGAAACTTTACAAAGTGTATCAACTCTTCGGCTCAACTATGTGTACAGTACTCACTGCAGGACCCGGTGATCCACGGAGACCAGGCAGGCCTTGAGGTCCAGGTAGACCTTGTGACCCTGTTGGACCAATGGAGCCGGTGGGACCAGTCAAGCCTCTGTCACCTTTCTCTCCTGGCAGACCTGTCGGACCCTGCTGGCCTGCTGGACCTTCAGGACCCTGGGCATTAAAGTTCACAATTATCTCCATTGTATTATTTTCTCTTAGAGAATAACAATGAATGTTTAGACTCGGGTGTAGGCAACAGTGACATATCTGTATAAATGATCTCAGGGCCTGTAAACGACCAGTGGCGCTAAATATTAACTTAGTTACAAAACAAAAAATTTACTTCTATTACTTATAATGAAATTAGAAGTTCACTTTACTCTAAAAAAACACAAGTAATTAGTAGCGATAACTTATAGGAAGCATTGTAGACTCACTAAGATATTGTCAGCGATGATGACCGAAATGATTTACGATTGATAAATAGAGAAATTTTGTACACTGTACAGTATACAACAAGTGTATACTGTACAGTAGGTGTATACTGTATACATATAACAAGTGTACACTGTACAGTAAGTGTACACTGTACAGTAAGTGTATACTGTACAGTAGGTGTATACTGTATACATATAACAAGTGTACACTGTACAGTAAGTGTACACTGTACAGTAAGTGTATACATAACTGGTGGTGATGTATTAACACAGGACTTACAGGTTTGCCACCAGCTCCTGGTAGACCCATCTGGCCGGGGAGTCCTGTTTCACCTGGGGGCCCCGTCGCGCCCTGCTTGCCGTCCTCGCCGTCCTTCCCTGGTACGCCTTTTGGTCCTTGCTTGCCTGGTTCTCCGTGTGGTCCAGGGAAGCCTGGTGGTCCGGCATTTCCCTTAGGTCCGGGTACTCCTATAGGTCCTCGGATGCCTGGGGACCCTTGTGGTCCGGGTTTCCCCTCTTCTCCCTTTGGTCCATGGGGGCCCATTCTGCCCTGCAACACATATCTAATTCAATAAAAGCCGTTCTACCTTATTCTTGTATATATATATATATATATATATATATATATATATATATATATATATATATATATATATATATATATATATATATATATATTATCATGAGAAGGCCAACTATATGAGTGAGTACATGAAGTACTTTATCTACAGCCGAGTGATAATGTCGAGATGAAACTGTTGACAGAGACTGAGGGTCTCTCAGAGCGTCATCTACTCACGTGTTCTCCATCTTTGCCGGGTGGACCGGGTAGTCCAGGCTGGCCAGACTCTCCCTTCTCTCCCTGGAGACCATCAGGACCGGTGGGACCCGGTAATCCAGTCGCACCTTTACTACCCACTGGCCCGGCCACTCCAGCAGGACCAAGGGGACCAGGAAGACCTCGATTTCCTATATCACCCTTTTCACCCTTTGGTCCCGAGGCTCCTGGCATCCCCTGTACTCCTGCTGGGCCAGCAGGTCCGGGCAGACCTTGAGGCCCGTCCTCGCCTTTCCTTCCTGTTCGACCCATTCTCCCTGGAGCACCTCGTTCCCCAGGGGCCCCGGGAGTTCCTGGAGCACCTCGCAATCCCTGGGGCCCTGCTGGACCTGGGGGACCCTGAAAAAATATAAATAAATTCTGTTACAGACCAGAACCATGTACTGCATGTTACCAGATGGTCACCACAATATAACCAACGAGATTATTCAGCCATACCTACAGTGTTAAATAATTATACACAAATGATATAGAATAATAATAAAGAAACAATACGGGAGACAAACTAATCAATTATTAAAGATACAATTAGACAAATGCTTTACATCATAATGAACAAAAAAATCGTTTAGGATTACCTGGTTGCCCTTGCCACCCTTGAAGCCTTTCTCTCCTGGTTGTCCTGCCTCGCCCTTGTCGCCGTCCTCCCCAGGCTCTCCCACAGGTCCAGGGGCACCAGGCGGACCTACCCGTCAGAAGGGTAAATAACATTTGTTAACAAACACGGGATGGACCAAAAGTAAACAGCGTTCATTCACATCAAACAAGTGGTAAACAGATACACTGGAGGTTCTAACACCACTACACACTACACTAGAGGTTCTAACACCACTACACACTACACTGGAGGTTCTAACACCACTAAACACTACACTAGAGGTTCAAACACCACTAAACACTACACTGGAGGTTCTAACACCACTACACACTACACTGGAGGTTCTAACACCACTAAACACTACACTAGAGGTTCAAACACCACTAAACACTACACTGGAGGTTCTAACACCACTACACAATACACTAGAGGTTCTAGCACCACTACACAATACACTGGAGGTTCTAACACCACTACACACTACACTAGAGGTTCTAACACCACTACACAATACACTGGAGGTTCTAACACCACTACACAATACACTAGAGGTTCACACCACTACACAATACACTAGAGGTTCTAACACCACTACACAGGTTCTAACACACTACACAATACACTAGAGGTTCTAACCACACACTGCACTGGAGGTTCTAACACCACTACACTACACTGGAGGTTCTAACTACACTGGAGGTTCTAACACCACTACACAACACACTAGAGGTTCACACCACTAGGAGGTTCTAACACCACTAACACACTACACTGAGGTTCTAACACCACTACACAATACACTAGAGGTTCTAACACCACTAAACACTACACTAGAGGTTCTAACACCACTACACAATACACTGGAGGTTCTAACACCACTACACACTACACTAGAGGTTCTAACACCACTACACAATACACTGGAGGTTCTAACACCACTACACAATACACTGGAGGTTCTAACACCACTACACAATACACTGGAGGTTCTAACACCACTAAACACTACACTAGAGGTTCTAACACCACTAAACACTACACTGGAGGTTCTAACACCACTACACAATACACTGGAGGTTCTAACAATTGTTTACTCAACAAGAAGCTTCGGTCTTACGAAACAAAAGGGTCTAAGTGACTCACCGCGTGGGCCAGGAAGACCATCTCGGCCAGTGGGTCCCGGGGCGCCTTGGTCACCCTGAAGGAACACAATATATTTAACATATTCCCTTATAGCTGTGAGTATGTCGTCAGTATGTACAGTATATAACATGTAGTTATTTTCCTGAATGTTCTAACTGATATTTAAGTGATAAATACTATTATAAAGCATCATGTTATATTACTATATAGTCAATGCTATTAATAAATCACGAAATCCTATTAAAAGTAATCAGGTTCAGTTATAAGTACCAAATCCTATTAAAAAGGCCCAAGTCTGTGTTATAAAGTATGGAACCTTTTATGTGGTATTGAATCCTATTTTTACAGTTTTAAATCCGATTCAGACACCAGTAGTAGCTAGAGGAGGTATGATACTCACCCTCTCTCCCTTCGCTCCTGAAGACCCGCGGGGTCCTGGTGGTCCGTCTTTTCCTGGAGGTCCTTGGGGCCCTTGGTTTCCGGCCAGGCCCATGGCACCCTTGTCTCCTGGGGTTCCGGCAGGCCCTGGAGGACCCATTTCGCCCTTGAGACCTGTGGCACCCTGGATAATGCAAGGTCAAAGGTGAGAGGTTATAAATGAAGACCTCACATGGCAAGTTACTCAACACTAATTTAATGAAGTTTGTTTACATCATCAGTCTACCTAAATGATGAGTCCAGAGATCAACATAAGAATGGAGGAAGCTGCAGCGGGCCTATTGGTCCATACTGGGCAATCCCGTTTACACCCAACCCCTATCGCTCATAATATATCCACCCAACCTGTGTTTGAAGCTATCTAGAGTATTAGAGTTAATGATGATGTTTGGCAACTTGTTCCACTCGTCCACTACTCTATTTCCAAACCAATTTTTACCAATTTCGCTCCTAAATCTAGGTTGGTCTAATTTAAAACCATTGCTACGAGTTTGCTCCTGATTGGATAGTTTGAGTACCTTTGTTCAACCCTGACTTCCATTTATACACCTCTATCTTATCGCCCCTCACTCTACGTCTCTCGACGGGGTGCAAATTAAGCACAAGTAAGATAGATAGTAAGAATAACAGGACTTCTTTTCTTTCTATATCTTTCTCTTAACTAATACAGCTATCTATATATAGTTCTGCCTTTTGGTTTCCTAACCTGAAATATTCTTTTAGATGTCAATTTGAGTGTGGTTATCATTCAGCTATAAAACGCATACTTCAGCTGGTAACTCAAGCTAGGAACATACGCCTAAGTCCAGAGGTTTATTAACATTGACTTACTACAAAAGTTAGGCAGTCCGTGTTCTGAGTGTTGAACGAGAGAATAAGTCTGACGAGTTCTTATTCCTATGGCATAAAAAACAGTTTACCCGATAGTAATGAACGAAGCAAAGGCAGATATACTCAGGTACCCTCAGATATACTCAGGTACCCTCAGGTATACTCACGGGGATGCCAGACAGTCCACGTTCTCCAGGAAAGCCTGGCAGACCTGGGGGCCCTACGGGTCCGATCTTGCCTGGGGGTCCCATTGGTCCTGGTGGTCCCTCCTTCCCGGACTCACCCGGTCTGCCCTCCTCTCCTGGTACACCGGGGGAGCCAGGCGGTCCCGGTTCTCCTGTAGGACCGGGCTCTCCAGCTGTTCCCACGGGACCCACCACACCGGGGGGTCCAATGGGGCCTTGGTTTCCTGGTTCACCCTACATGGTCAAATAAGGAATTAGGATACTTCCAGAATCATGTATGTATGTATGTATGTATGAAGTATGCAGAGATGCACACACATGATTGGATGAAGGCACATATATTGCCAACAAATATTAGTCCGTAAAAATTTATCAAAGCAACAAAGTATGACGTCAGAGCTAGAAGGCTATACAACAACCCGTGGTAAGACTCACTGGAGGTCCTCGTTCTCCTGGGGGTCCTGCGATGCCGTCCTTCCCGTCAATACCTGGAGGACCTGTTGATCCCGCGAAACCAGGGGGTCCTTCAGGACCCTGTCCTCCTTGTTCACCGTTAGGTCCCGGAGGTCCTGGCTGGCCAGTATCACCCTTGGGGCCCGAAAGACCTGTTTTTCCTCTTCGGCCTCGAGATCCACGGAAGCCCTGAGGAAAGAAGACCAGAGCTGAGGCGGGATGCGAGTCAGCTGAGACAACAAACACTGATCTAAGATAAAATAGTTTAATGCCTGATGGACAACAGCGGCAGTCAGAAGAAACAGTTAAAGGAAGGGAGAGGAATAAACACAATTCTACTTCTGGAGAAAATTTAAAATTCACAGAAAATTCCCACATAGGAAAAATGGAAGAATTGCTCACTGTGACATAACAGAAGGGAAATTATTCTTTCCTCATTTTTCCCTCCGTGTGATGAGGAAAAGTTGTCGACGTTTTGCCAAGTGTTTAAGGATTGTCACTTTAGTGTTTCAAGGGATTGGACCATAAAGCAAGAATTTTCCGTGTGCGTATGACAAGTGGAGGCGAGGACTGGGTAGAGAGAGACATGGTGACGGACGGTACCAGACAACTGTATTGTATAAGGTATAAAAAGAGACGTGTTTCAGATACTTAGAAGAGGGGATTATCTCTGTACATGTGAAAAGGAATAAGACTCAAGGAACATTGAAGTGCTGTAGTCGTGTGAGTAAGCGAGTGTTCCTTTGACCTATTCGGGGAGGATAACAGGAGACAGAGACAAACAAAGTCTTCTACTCACTCTCGGTCCTTGTTCGCCACGTGCGCCTGGTAGCCCTGGGTTACCTCGTTCGCCCTTGTCTCCTGGTCGCCCGTGGAGACCTGGGGAGCCCTTTCCTCCCTTATCTCCAGGAGGGCCCGGGTAGCCTGGGAATCCGGGGACCCCAAGCTTGCCTTTGTCTCCGTGGGAGCCTGGTGAACCCCTCTCTCCACGGGGGCCCTCAAAACCCTGGGCAAAAATACGTGTTAGTGAAGGGAAAATGAGTGTGTGTGTGTTCAATTCCACTAATTTCCACGTTTTGATACATAATTCATATATATATACACATATAGTATAAGCACAAAACATAAAAGTTAAGTCTAAATATTGAAAATAGTATTTTTCTGAACCAGAGAAAAGATATATAAAATATATATTAGAATATACTAACTTTACATAAAATTAATGGAACTTGGGCATTATATATTCAAATTTTACTAATATGTTTATTTGTATAATATAATACTTATAAATATAATAATAACCTGAACCTCAAGGCCTTCCTCACCTTAGGTCCTTCAGGTCCCTCCAGGCCAATCTGACCATCAGGGCCGACCTCTCCTCGATCTCCCTTCATGCCCATATCTCCCTTAGGTCCGTCGGGTCCGTGTTCTCCCTTGTTCCCTTTCTCGCCCTGGAGTCCTCTGTTGCCCTGGTCACCCTTCACTCCACGAGGACCCGGGAACCCAATTCGACCCTAAGGGAAGAAGTTGTTGAAGAGGCCGTGAGAGATTTGGGTCACCATGTACTGTACAGGTGTTATGTGTTACCCCTGGATCATGTGACAGGTGTTATGTGTTACCTGTGGATCATGTGACTGGTGTTATGTGTTACCTGTGGATCAAATGACTGGTGTTATGTGTTACCTGTGGATCAAATGACTGATGTTATGTGTTACCTGTGGATCAAATGACTGGTGTTATGTGTTACCTGTGGATCAAATGACTGGTGTTATGTGTTACCTGTGGATCAAATGACTGGTGTTATGTGTTACCTGTGGATCAAATGAGTGGTGTTATGTGTTACCTGTGGATCAAATGACTGGTGTTATGTGTTACCTGTGGATCAAATGACTGGTGTTATGTGTTACCTGTGGATCAAATGACTGGTGTTATGTGTTACCTGTGGATCAAATGACTGGTGTTATGTGTTACCTGTGGATCAAATGACTGGTGTTATGTGTTACCTGTGGATCAAATGACTGGTGTTATGTGTTACCTGTGGATCAAATGAGTGGTGTTATGTGTTACCTGTGGATCAAATGACTGGTGTTATGTGTTACCTGTGGATCAAATGACTGGTGTTATGTGTTACCTGTGGATCAAATGACTGGTGTTATGTGTTACCTGTGGATCAAATGACTGGTGTTATGTGTTACCTGTGGATCTACAAAATACATGTGACGTGCTAAATCATTATACAAAAATACGAATATAAAATATTACGAAATACATGAAGCACAAGTGTCAAGCATTACACTAAAACAGGTGTTAAATGTTACATAAGATGCAAAGTACAGGTGTAATACTGTACCTGGGATCCAATAGGGCCTTTGTCACCCTTAGAACCCATGGATCCAGGGTTGCCGGGGTGGCCAGGTAAACCATCCGCCCCTACAAGGCCAGGTAGGCCGGGCTTACCTCTGGGACCCTGTCAACAAAGAGGACAAGGTGTGCTGAGAACGATGTGCTGACGTCATTAAACAAACACATTAGAATAACATTGGTCTTGATTTGATTTTATGAAGACGAAAACTAAACATTTACAAAAAACTCCGTAAAGACGAAGGTAAAGAGGAAATATAATAACTAAAACAAACTTGAGGAATTAAATATATAAACTTGGGATAATAGAAGGTGAGGAAAATAAACTTAATAAGGAATAGAATAAAGAAAGGAATCATAATACAACTGATGACAAATAACTGAGACAAAATACAGATGATGATAAAGCTTAAATAGGACTGCTAGACGCTGCACTGACTCACTATGATAATAAAGGAGTTACAACGCTGGCCTAGACCTGCGTCAGTGGTGAGAGGTTAAAACTTTTCTCTCAGTCAGTCAGTCATACAGTGAGACGTTAGTATTTATAGAGATACCTGACGCAGCTCAGTCCCCGGAGGGTGGGAGGCGCCCTTGAGACGAGGTACTCACTGATGGACCAGGAGGACCTAGCAGACCTTGGGGTCCCGGGGGACCGACAGGCCCGTTGGGACCAGACTGGCCGGGGGGCCCAGGTTGACCAGGGGGCCCAGCATCACCTTCGGGCCCGGTGGAACCCTCGCTGCCAGGGATGCCGGGAGGTCCAGGGAGGCCAGGGAAACCTCGAGGGCCGATGAATCCTCGTGGACCCTGAAGGAAGAGTGTTTCATACTAGTGAATTTACGTTCTATAAGCCTATTGACCGTTAGGTAAACAAGGCCGGCACTGAACGCCACCGCCCACATTCACCAACAGCAAAGTTAGCTGCTCTTCAGTGAGGACGACTTGTTTATATAGAAACAACAATCATATTCATTCTCTTATATCAACCAAAGAGTAATAGTAAAAGAAATATTAATACTTAGTTTCATTATAATTATCTATATTATAAAACTATCCATTTGTTACTGAAAGACATTTTAGAGATTATATTATGCAGGAATAATAATAATAATAATAATAATAATAATAATAATAATAATAATAATAATAATAATAATAATAATAACCTTTAAACTGTATGACCTACCATCTCTCCAGGTAGACCGGGGACACCTGGAGCTCCGGGTTCACCTGGCATACCGTCGTGACCTGGAAGACCTGACTCTCCCGGAATGCCAATCACTCCTCGATGACCCTTCTCTCCGGGCATACCTGTGTAGGGGTCAGGTTAGGTCAGAAGCCAAGAAAACAAATGTACCTGATCTAATTACCTGGATACCTGTCGGGGGGGATAATTGTGTGTGTGTGTGTGTGTGTGTGTGTGTATACCGGACTGCCTAACCAACTAAACTTTGTCATCAATAAAAAAATCGCCACAAGTTATACCAGAACAGAGAAAATTATAACACCGTTGCCAGAATATTATTACCGTACTATAATGAAAGAGTCAAAACAATATTACCAACATTTGAAACTAGATCCTTGATGTAATTTTAGAATTTTGTGATAAACATTGGTATATAATTTTAAAACATTAGTACCAGAATAGAGACAATTTCTTACCAAAGTGAGGAAATAATGATGTTACTAGAATAAACAAATATGAAAGTGTTGCCAGAATACGAAGAAATGCACAGTCTTATCAGAATATATAAACAGTGTTACCAAAAGAGACTGACCTGGTAATCCTCTGAGCCCGACGTCGCCCTTGGCTCCAGGACTACCGGACAGACCGCGCTCTCCATCTCTTCCTGGACGGCCCCTTCGACCTCTTGCCCCCATCTGACCAAGCTGCCCTCTCATACCTCTCGGGCCCTATAGGGTGAGAGGGGAGGGAGGTGATTAGAGGGGAGGGGATTTGAGTGGGTTAGGAGTGATTGAGAGAGGGGGGGATGTGAAATGGATAGAAGTAATAGAAAGGAAAGGGGGAGGTGTGATGAGAGGGAAAGGGTTGTAGGAAGAGAAGAGGGGTTGGGATAGGAGGCGTAACGAGAAGAATGAAAGAGAAAGAAAGGGGAGAAAAACGTGAATAGGGAAAATTGAGAAGAGAGAAAGAGAGAGAGAGAAGGAAAGAAATATAAAAAAAGTGAATAGGAAGGGGAGATAGGAAATGGATGACTTAAAAGAAGAGATAAAAGATAGAAAACAAAGGGAAAGAATTTGAAAAAGAAAAAGAAAAGAAAGTAGGTAGCGATGGAAGAGAAAAGGTGTATAAAAAGGGGGTGTATTTGACAACTCTCTCTCTCTCTCTCTCTCTCACTCACCGGTTCTCCCATGTCTCCAGGTTCTCCCTTGATACCAGGCTCTCCTTGAGGTCCTTCGGGTCCCGGGAGGCCGGTCAGACCCCTAGGACCCGCCACTCCCTGCATGGCCATCATGTGTTGGGACAGTTGCTGTTGAAACTGCTCCAGCATCTGGTCTGGACCCTTCTGGTTGCCTTGCAGGTTCAGCTGGAGGAGGAAGAAGAAGGGGTCAATTTTTACGTTTACGAGGAGGACTTGTCGAAACATTGTGCTCCAAGAACTGATCAAGGAATACTTCAAGAATTTGTTCACCGTCATCATAATAAGAGTTAAACAATATGAAGACATGTTTACATCTATAACAATATAAACTCATAAATAATATAAAACATTCTAGCGTATCGGTTTGTACTGCTTGTTGTCCTATATACTTGTGTATATATCAGTACTTGCATCACTACCTGCAACTGTACCTGTGTTTAAATTTATACTTATGGTTGTATGTGCACTTGTACTTGCACCTGTACTTGCACCTGTACTTCCATCTATAATTGTATCTGTACCTTATACTTTTATCTGTACTTGTACTTGTATCTGTAGCTGTTTCTGTACCTGTAGTTGTACCTACACCTGTCACTCACCGGGATCATGAAGACGTGACCAGGTGGACCGGAGATGCCGTTAGTACCCGCTATGCCGCTCCTGCCGGGGTCACCTTTATCACCAGGAAAACCTGGTGGGCCTGGGGGTCCTGGATAACCTCGCAGGACGCCAGATGGGAGAAAGCTAGCAGCAGCGGCCGCATCATAATCCTACAGTGAGAAAACAGAAGAAAATTATTCACCCTTTTTGTTTCCTAGTAAATTATAGTTAACATTTGTTTTGTCATGCAAGAAAATATTTTTAATAGGATTTTAAACGCATTGAACATTACGTGTGCAGCGGGTGAGTGCAATTATAGAGGGAAAGGGAGAGTGTGAAAATAATTGCGTTAATTATTATGATTGAAATGCATAGGGATATCGTTAGAAGCTTACGATGGTTGCCCGGCTACACTCAGTCACTGTGTAATGATTTGTCAGTTTGGTAGTGAATTTATCGGCCTGTATGGAGAGTGAAAATAGCAGCACACAAGACACTGAAGTTATCTGACCTAGAACAGTGAATTTTTCGATCCACAGAACAGTGAAAACATATCGGCTCCCATAGGCTCAGTTATGTCATTAACCCGCGACAATGAGTGGTTCTGATGCTTCAAAATACTCACGGTAGAGGTAAAGTTGTCAACGGAGGTATAGTTCTCGGCGGATACTTTGGAGGAGTACACTGTCTCATCATCGCTGCCGCCGACATACTCGAGCTGGGTAGAGGAGGCCAGCAGGAGCGGGTCGGGTAGTTCTTGGTCACAATCGGGCATATAGATCTGACAGTGGTCGTAAGCCGCCTCGGGTCCTGACACGATGTCTAGTTGCTGAATGTCGCCCTGTGGATGGAGCCAAGATGAACGTATATTAGACAGGGAGAGTAAATTGGGTGAGGCGGACGTTTAACTGGGACACGTACAGAATAAATTGAGTGAATGAACGTATAAAACAGAGAATAAATTGGGTAGGATGAACGTATGAGACATAGAAAGTAAATTGGGTAGATTGAACGGATGCGAGAGAGTAAATTGAGAGGATTAACGTATAACTGAAGAGATAACTTGGCTGAATGAGTAAAGTGGAAGAAGAAAGGAAGGAAGGAAGATGAAGATGCAATGACACAGTGACTTAGAAGAGTGAATTAGAGAATGAAGTAAACGAAGACAAGTTACACCGGGTGGAACTTGTACCTTTTACACTTCAAGTAGGACTCGAGTTGATGAGGACGGAGAAGAAAAAAAGGAGGATCAAAGATGACTCAAACAAGAGGAGGAAGACTTGGTAGAGGAGGAACCGGAGGAAGGCCTTAAAAATAGAAGAACGAGATTAAAGAGAAGAAAGGGAAGGCTTAGGAATGCTACTCACGTCGAAATACTTCTCCTCAAGCAGCTGTTGACCGAGGAGGATGATACCGGCGTTGGAAATGTGTGAAGGGGAGTTCCGAGGCAGGATGAGGTTGGTGGTGGTATGACAGTCTACCAGGAGTGTCACGCTGTTGCCCTTCACGCTCAAACCTACCCGATGCCACCTGGCGGGGAGGAGAGGAAGAGGAGGGTTCCCGATTAGTGTGAATGTTCAGTTCTCTTACTGCATCCTCAACAGCGAAAAGGCGAGAGGCAATGCAGTTTGGGTTCGTGTTGTGGTTCACGTTATAACCTGATGATTAGGCACCTTAGCCTATTTCACCTGATGATTAAGCTTCAACAGTGTCAGGAAAGTCTCAGTAGTGTCAGGAAAGTCTCAGTAGTGTCAGGAAAGACTCAGTAGTGTCAGGAGAGTTTCAGCAGTGTCAGGAAAGTCTCAGTAGTGTCAGGAGAGTTTCAGTAGTGTCAGGAAAGTCTCAGTAATGTCAGATATATACAAGTTAACATGGCTAGTGAGACAGCCATTATATAGATGAGCAACAGATGATAATGAAAAGGACTTAGAGGAATAAAGTAATACACCTGATCGATGCTACTTAGTGTGTGTGTGTGTGTGTGTGTGTGTGAATATACTTTAATAGTAGTAACTCATGTGGATGTCAGTGTTTGTGGATTCTTTAATATCAGGATATTCGACCCTTTAGCCACATGTCACCATGAACTGACTCTAGAGGCTGGACACAAGAGAATCGAGAACGACAAGAACAGAGCATAGCACAGAGAATACAGAACATCGACCAAGACAACTTTGCTACTCTGGTGTTCACAACATCGGGTGGGAAGGGACCTAGTACAAAGTGATTTTATGCCAGACTGGCTGAGGTGTTATCAGAACAGAAGCAGCAGCCTAGCCGTGGTCTGGTTGAGAAGTCGCCTATCATTCTCTTTGCTGAGATCTGCTCTGCTGTGTCTCAGAGGAACAAGATCTTCGGCCTCTAAACCAACAACAGTCGCAGACATTGACTAGGAGGCAAAAGTCACCGAATGTCACAAGGATCTGTAGCTTAACTAACTCAGCTAGGGCTGTTGCTTTAGTATTAGGATAGTTAGGTAATAAAATGTGTGGAGATGGTATGGCTATAAGTGGAGATCGGAGACCACAAAGAGTAGTAGTAGTAGTGCATCATTTTCTTCTCAATATTATTTGAAGGAAAGACCCATGTATATAAATAACCTTAAGTGCAAAACTTCTTGGTCAACATGAAAACCAATTAGCGTCACGAGACACCAAACTTGAAGCAGCAGAAGATAAGCCAAGCTCTTCTGGTATAGTGGGAGCCTCAGAAGGTGCGGCGCAGCAAGGCTGAAGAGTTAATAAGTTGGTTGACCTCCCTAGTGAGAGGTGAGTGTGACTGACTGCAGCAGGACAACGGGGAGTCTGATGGTTCAAGAGCAACAGCTGCCCACGACACCCGGGACTGTCTGCCACACAGTGTAAGAGAGTAGTATCTGGCCTGGGTACGAACCTTGGTCTTCTTTGTCACATAACAGTGATGATTCCACTTATGTGCCATCTTTATCTATCTATCCAAATATATAAATTGTTATACACTTATCTATCTCTATCTTCTGATACATGTAAATTTGCCTATATATAAGTATACAACTATATCATCACTATTTGTTTTTTTACTGATTCATTTAACGATCTATCAGTCCATCTGTCTAACTGAGGAACAGAAAGCTTGACATATTTGTTTTCCTTTTCCCCCTTCCTCCCGCTTCTCCCAAGACGTATAAATAAAAAAAAGGAAACAGTTGAGGCTCCAAAAACACACCGTTGGGGATCTCACTCACTTTCCGTCATTGATTGCTGCGCCGAATTCTAGTGTGTTTCCGTCTTCAGGGTTACCGTGGGCGTCCTGGTAGAAGAGCTTGATGGTGTCGCCCACTTCCACCAGGAGCTGGTCGTCGCCCGAGTCCGAGTACAGTCCGAAGAGAACCGAACTCGACCCCTGTTTCGGTCTGAGCGTCACCATGATACTGAAGTCTTCGGGGAATTCAACTGGTGTGGTTGATGGAGAAGGACATAGTGAGTTTATGAGAGTATCACATCACTGGGTGGTTGTTTTATGAGTTCTTCAGGTGTAAGGTGTTAAAAATGTATGAGTTTTCGACAGATAAAAAAATAATAATGATTTTTATGAGTTAATCAAGTTCAGCACAAGGTGATAAGGTGATATTTTCTTTGACATGTAAATTGAAGGATTTACTTTCCTCTGGATATGGTCTCACCAGGCAAGGTGTAGACTCACCAGGCGAGGTGTTAACAGTGAGGAAGATCGTTTTAGTGACTCTTATAAGGCTGGATCTTGGTGATGATGGAAAAGAAACTCACCAGGAAAGAGGTTGGCGGTCGGAACAGTGAGGACGGCTTGCTTGGTGATCTTGTAGGCCATGTCAGGTTCCCCTGGGTCACCGGGACGGCTGTCGCACATCCCCCTCGTCTCCACTACACCCAGCGGCTGCCCCGCCATGCCCACCACCTCCAACAGGCTGCCCCCCTCTGTAACGTAAACAAAAAAGGTTACTCAACATGTTAACACAATGTAAACAGCAAACAATGGGCTCTACTACACACAAACATTGAATTATACTCTCACAACATGACTAATACACCGTGGAAATCTTTTGGGTATATTTTCAACTAGAATATTGTGACTTGTGAATATTTTAATTGACAATTTGAACCCAGTAGCTGTATAGCGTGTTTGTATACGCTGATATTTGCTTCTGTAGTAATTCATTATTGATTGCTCTTGTCAGGCATAATTTACGGATTTCTCAATATATTTTATATAATCCTTAATTCACTTATATAAGTGTATAAATAATGGTGACGGGTTATTACTACTATTAATTGGTCTGATGAACGTACAGTATAGTACTTGGACGACAGTTTGTTGCCCGGATCGAGACGAGCTAACTCGCATGCGAGAGTTACTTTCAACTCAGTTGAATTAGCTTTTTGTAGATTAATTAAGATTTTATTGTAACTGTTTTACAAATAGCTCAGAGTCTGTCAATAAACTTATAAATTTGAACTGACAATACGTGTCCAGAGGTACCGAGTCCCAGCGGGTTTTCTGGGTAACTCTACCGTAACCGAGGTCCGTGCCGTGCCGTGCCGTGCCGTGCTTGGCGATCAGAACAAGGCTGACCACCGTGAAGGTTAGATTGTTTTTGGAGGAGACAACTAAGTGCTTTGCATATAATTAACGATTATCATTAGCTACTTCACTCAACATTGGCAGAGCCTCGTCGTGAGCAAGACATTAAGGATTCATATCCCCTTCCTGTCAAAAATTTCAGCTGGCTGTAGAAAAAGACTGAGTTCAGGCAGGCTGGAGATAAGCCTACTTTACTGAAGTAAATTTCAGTCAGTGTTAGAAATCATGACATACAAAGTAAACATGATATTTGCGCAGTTTACTGATTACCTCATGTTCTTTACACAACAAACAGGAGGCGTTATACAGAAAGCATCCCACAATGTAAACAACTGATACTATACACTGTGCTAGGTATAAATACTGGGACTTAGAAGGCTAGGCTCAGCACTGCATCACCACGGAACATAACAGAAGGTGTCTAATGCATTGAGGACAATATGCTGTCCATACGATGACATTACAAGTTACAATACAAAGAGAACACACGCTCTATCCCCCTTCCTTACAACACGTCATGCGCGCGCAGCTCACAGTCAAAACTACCCCTTACAACAACACCAAGAACATAAACATTGATATTTTTCTTCTGTTTTTATCTTTCTAGTGATTATTATTCTTCTCTCCCTCTCCTACATTCCTTCTATCCTTACATAGCTCCGCCTACACTCTCTCCACCCTCCAAACATCTGGTGGCAATCTTGTAATGACCTAAACAATGTAAACAACACTCTTTCACATCCCCAGACAGCAATTACATATTTTTTTTATACAGGATGAATTACAACGTCACTAAGTTTGTTGATAATACTGGGGAAAAAAAGGTGTTGTTGCCTGCTTCCCCGGGGCGTGCTTTAGGCTCCAGTGATGGGCTCTAAGGGCAGATTAACCTGTTTTTTCTCCTTAACATCTCCCTCCTGTTGCTCCCGTTAACCGTTGACTCTTCTGTTAACTCAAGTAAAGGGAATCTTTGTTCAGTTGTGTCTGTATGTGTGTTTCCCCCCTCACCTTCCCTTCCCTCCCTCCATCCTCTCTCTTCCATTTCTTCCCTCTCTTCCCTATCCCATCCCTCTCTTCCCATACATGCCTTCCTCTCTTCTGCCTTCCTTCCCATTTGCCTTTTCTTCATCTCTTAATTTATCCTTCCCATATTTCAACTCTTCCCTCCCATCTACACCTCTTTCCCCTTCCCATCCCGCCATTAGCTCTCAGGCTTCTGCCAACAAGGATTTTCCAAGCCTTTCGTAAGAGCTACCAGCAGACCCAGGAATATAAATTTAGCTCCGAGGGATTTTTTTAAATATTTCTTCTTGATTTACTTCTTTTAATTTGCTTTGTTCTTTCCCTTTCTTCATATTTTTCTTCTTTCCCTCTTTCCTATTCTTTCTTTTTTTTTCTTTTTTGCTCTCACTTCTATCTTTCCTCATTTCTTCCTCTCTTCCAATCTATCCTCATTTTTTCTCTTGCTATAATCTTTTAATAAAAACTAGTAACTATATAAAAAACATCAAAGGCATAATTTTTTCCTTTACTTATTTTATTAAAATTTTATGTAGATAGAAAGATTTAATTTGGTTTACCTCTTGAAACAGACGAAGGATATTTTTACCCCTCGTAGTAATTTAATTTGGACGGAAAGTACAAAAACACAAAACAATATCTGAGTCCAAAAAGGTTTAGGGAACTGAATCCTTTCTTAACACCCCCCCCCTCCCTTGATAGGTAGACAGATACATACATAAAAACAATCACGTTCTTGTATACACACATACCTGCACATACAGCAACACACAGGTATGTTCATTGTTTCATCTTCGGTATATTTTATCTACGCTGAAAGCTTTTGTTAAATGGCTGACTCCTCCTTGTCACTTGGCCTTTGTATATTTGGAGTTTTGGTTACTGTGTATTTTCATAAACCTTTAAATATATTATTATTATTATTTGTTATTATAATGTTATTACGAAGCTTTAACAACTGAAGTCCTTAAGTGTGTAAGAAGATTGGTAATTACACAATTGCATCAACAAATAAAAATTACGAGATATATATAACAGTGGTGTGTGTGTGTGTGTGTGTCCACGTTTATGAGGACAAAGCTGTAATTCAGTAGGGAGGTGATGGTGTCTGGGAATGAGTAATGGTACAGTCTCTCCCCCACCCGGACCAAGCCGGGTAATTATAAGTTATTTTTTACTATTATTATCAATAGTATTATTATTATAGTAGTAGTAAAACACACGCTACCTAGCAGTAGGTAAAGGGGTCCCAGTTCTCAGTAACTGGTTAGCTATTTGTCTTATGCTTTACACTACTTTTACCCCAGTTATAAAAAACCCACATTTAATAGTTGCATTTTCTTATACATTTTCTGAACAGGCTACAGAGCCGCGCTACTCTTGCTAGGTACTGCACTGTACTGTACTGTACTGTACTGTAAGATAAAAGTAATGTTAACTCGTTGGTTTACCACTACAGGATACCGTGATCAATGCAAATTATGAATTCAACTAAAACTCACAAGCTTTGATTTTTTCCAGTTGGATGGGCGTGAACGGTCAGCCCAACTGATGGTAGTATCCCTTTTAGCACTTTACTCCACGGAAAATCATAATATACAGACAATATTTGGCATTAAACCACTGCCTCATAACCTTGGCCACCATCTTATTATAAATCGACAGTCCATTAGATTTCTTGGACAGATCACCACAATACTTAGTCATATTAAATTATCCAGGTCAATCACACACATAAAACCAACAGTGCCACATATTTAATCCAACAAGGTAGTTAACATAGTAACATCAAGTTGAAGGACCTGGTACAGTGGTGTCTTGCGGTAACCCATGAAGCTCTCAAACAGTCTACTAGCAGTACGGCATTCCGTTTTCGATACTGTTACCGTGTATATATTGACATATTATCAGTGTCATTAATATATGCCCTATTGACTTACATATTCTTATAAAACGTCTATACAGATACACTTAGTCTAACTGTTATGAAGTGCGTCTCGAGGATTGTTTCAATAATATTCTTTTTTATGAAACTGATTCGAATAATACTTTATAGTTTCAAGTTTTGAACTGTTCCAAATAAACTGAAAAGTAGTGCAAAAAGATGTATTCTTCCACACCGGCTGTATACAGTTTGATTAGAATTATCATTAATGGTTCCTTCAATCACTTTTAAATTATATGAATGTAATTAAATAACGTAATGAGTGTGTCGTATCTGTCAGCTTCCAAGATAGGAGCACATGTTAAGAGAAGCTCCATACTGGTTACTTTAATATTAACTATTTCAGAAGGATAAAGTGTAATCACAGTCACCACCCTACATAAACATGTCGACTAACATAAACCTTGTAAAATGGTAACATCATATTTAGCTTTGTTTGATGTAGTAGTCGAGTCTTACCAACACAGTACAAGTATTTGGTAACTGTATGGGTCCTGCTGACACTCATCTTAACCAGACTAATGTGTCCCTCAGCTTGTGTCTCACCGAGGAAGATATTCTTTGACCCTTCGTCTTAAAGGATTTCTCACCGCCCCCACAGTGCTCTCTCTCTCTCTCTCTCTCTCTCTCTCTCTCTCTCTCTCTCTCTCTCTCTCCACTATCGCGTGCTTTCCTTTAATAAAACTGTCCTGGGATAAGAACAAACAGTGCTCAAGTGAACTTGACATTTTTACAACACCAAAGTTTTTTCATACCTCACGACACACATGTTCTTTTACATCACCACTATGAACAATGTTCTAAGCGAAGATATCCACGTTCTTCTGTTTTTTTTTATTTTTTTGTACTTTGCAAAATAAAGACAGATACGAGACCAATAATTAAAATCATCTCTGACAGCCGGAAGTATAACCAATAAACCTATAAGAAAACGTAAGACAATAGACATGTTTTATATTTTATTTTTTATTTTTTACGTTTTATAACATCATAAAATAATGTTTTTCTATCTCTCGAGGTAGTTAAATATTGTCGAGTTAAAGATAAGTAATATTAACAAAACAAACGTGGCCACTTGAGTCTGTGTTAGACGCGGAGTTAATTTGCTTGACGTGGCCCTAAAAATCTGGTCCATAGAGACCCAGTTCCTTGTTTACGTCTTGACACATGAGGGGGTCACGTTACTCAGCGGTGCCAACCCTCCAGTGGGACATTTTTCATGTTGGTTGAATTTTTTTTCTTCTTTTTTTCATATAATTCTTTCTCTAACAACTATTAATGGATAATTTTGCATTGTACTTGAAATTTTCTTAGTATTTAGATAAAAATCGGATTAAATTTTTTACCTATGAGATTAACTTAGAGTATAAT